GTGGTGGTGGTGGTAGTGGTGGTGGTGGTGGCGTTTTCGCAGGCACTACTTAGGCAAGGGTTGTCGGGTTGTTATTGCAGTGGTTCCGGGGAAGTACGACGAGGCCAATCTACAAGCGGAATATAAGTTTCTATCATAGACACTAGTGGTGGGGTCGATTGTTGGGGTTGCAGAACTGGGGTGATTGCAAATTGCAGTCGCTTTGCTGGCATTGGTAGCTGTGATTCGGTTGGCTTCGTAGATTGTTGCTTCAGTATTTACTACAAGTCTTTAGAGCGAGGCTATTCCGGGGTGCCGAATCGATCCTTGTAGATGCCTGAGGGGAATACGCGAGGTGTTTTGGGTCGCAATTCCTCCCTGTCTGGTACTTCATCCGGTGATGGGTTCGAGAGTGAATTCGAGATGTCGGGCGAATGGAGGTTTTGTTCCAGCGATCACAGGTAGTCACATCGATCTCAAAATTGTATGCCTCGACAACTTCATTCGCGCTCGAGTACCTTCGCCTTTTACCTTCTTCTTCTTCTTCTTCTTCTTCTTCTGCTTCTTCATGTTACGTGTCAATGGTGTGCGCAATTAACAGCACCCGCATTTCACCCCTCAAATTAAAACAAGAATTTGTTCCTAACCACGAGTCATTCGATTGCGCCATGCCTCCGATGATCGAGAGCTGTCTTTCAAATGGAAGGTGACAACACATGACCAGTTGCGCAACCTACAAAACAATTCATTTTCACCCAGATGCTTGACCCTACTCCCTGCTGTGTGGGGAGGCACATAACAGAAGGGCTCACCGATGATGGAGGCAGCAAGTGCAGACTGCAGAACCGTCAACAAGGAGCAAATCATCAGCCCACGGGTCGCAATTCCCACTGTAAAAACAGATCAAGACGCCTGAGGAGAGTGTGTCCTCCTTCACCCCCTGCGTCAACCTCAAATTGTGCGAAGGCACAGGACGGGATAGCTGGAAAACCATTGACTACTGAACTAGAATGGAGCAGCAAGGAGTGAGCAGTGTGCTCAGCGAAAAAACACACTGTTTTGGTGGTGACGAGGTCGCATCACATGTATAGGACGGGAGCGTCTGCCATCGTGCCATGCGGTGTGACATTTTACTGCAGTCTGGCTGGCAAGCGGGAACCGTCCAATGGGCGAAGCAATCTGTCTGACACTAGTGCCATATAAGTAGCTTTGATTGATGCCCCAGTTCCAACTTCGGTGGCTTTTTAGACTTTGTGAGTTGATTTTCGGTTGTTCTATCCCCTAGTAGCAATGGTAGGTCGCCAATTCGAATATGAACCCTGTGTTGAATGTGCCTTTAAATATTGCCTAATAAATTCAACTCATAATTTGAACTTGTATTTTCTGACATTAAATTGTGCTGAAAGTTCAAGGAGGTGTGTTTAACGGTGATGCTTCCCTACATTCCCTCCATATTCCACCATCTGACAGGCTCAATCATGACCAAAATAGGTAAAGGTCTACAGATGGGTCTGTCCTGGGTAAAAATAACAGCCGACGACACTCCAGACGGAGCTATTGATGTACAGCCTGGCATCTATGTCTGCTACGCCCTGTACAAATACCCGGAAAGTAGTAATAACGGGTTTGGTAGTTTGGCGAGAATTTGAACCAGTCGTCACAGGATGTTAGGTCGGCGTGCCCTGCGATGTATTTAAAGTACTTACTTTTACAAGCTGGATTCCAAAATGTATTAGGTTAGTCATGAGTAGCAAATCTTCCCCATAAATTAATAGGTAACCTAAATGCACTGGTGCGGCATCAAATGTAAAATTTGACGAGAGTTGGACACTGAATTATAGCGGCTAGGCGGTACTGGGTCACGCAAGTGTGCGTTTGTGTGGGTGAGAGAGGGATTCGCTTTATTTTGAAACCATAAATTCAAAATTATCGGCAAAAAATGGCTTCATTCTCTAAGGGCAGTGAGTAAGCTGATAGATTATTCCGGAGTCAAAAGGTTTAACACAAAAGTAACGATTATTATGAGGACAGCTCAAGTTTTCGCTTCTGTATTTCTGTCTCTTCACGCATAAGACAACACTCCCGGAATGGAAATACAGAAGCTCAAAAAGCCGATGTGCGACAAGAGATTAGTCGGAAACCGCAGCGCATGGGGCGGTAAGACTTCGTAAAAATAAAATCAGAATGCAAGGGATAGGAAACGTCATCTATAATCCGACCAGCAAATTGCTTGACCGTTTTGAAATGTCGTTGTAGGATATTAACGACTAAAGCAGATGAGAAACACCAGTGGCATCTATGAATCGTCAGACCAAGAGTTGCGGTGTGTGGTAGGAACGTAAACGCCATTGCAATTTGACCGTCAATCTTGAGAAAGACTGAGATTTCCTCCCGTTTCATAACGCTTAAATCTTTAACCATTAACGCGTCCTGGCAGTGTCATCATCATCAATTCTTGTGTAACAACTGGATGGCAATCCAGAGGGCATTTGTTACCAAGCCTTAGAGCAGTACAGTGAGTGACCTATCTCATGAAATGTTGACTGAAATTCTGAAACACGTTCTCGATTAGGAAGGATTACTTAGGCGTGGTTGGAATACTAATTATCTTGCGGCATAATCGTATAGTATTTTGGACTCGGCAGGATGTCGGCTTTTAAACACACTGCTTTTTAATCTCCTGAAAAAAACGTACTCGTTAAAAAAATGACTACTTAAGTAGCATGCATTTTTCTCATTGATTTTCGATGGCCATGCAAATTCAAATATATCTTATTGTAGCCATGAACAAAAATGTGCTTTCTTTCAGTCAATTAATAGAGAATCACCTCTTTTTTATATTTTTTATTCAAGGAAGATGTATAATTAGGCTTTAAAAAAGTTTCTTATTATGAGATTTTTTAAGACCGCGCAATGTCCATTCACATAGCATCGTACCTGGCCGCTTATGACTGCTCCTCGTGAAATGTACAACATAGTCCGGATCCATTGCTAAATTTTATAAACTCTATATGGTATCTTCGTAAACGCATAAAGGAATATGTGATTTTCCTTACGTAGAAAGCATGCACCTTGTAAACTGAAATCGCTAAACGCTGATGCAATGGCAGATCTGGCTCAAAATTATTCAGAAATTGGAAAACTTTTTTAAAACCTAATTATACTCCGCCCTTGAATAAAAAATATGAAGAAGACGTGATTCTTTATTAACTGACTGAAAGAAAGCGCATTTTTGTTCATGGTTGCAATAAGATATATTTGAATTTGCATGGCCATCGAAAATCAATGAGAAAAATGCATGCTACATAAGTAGTCATTTTTTAACGAGTAAGTTTTTTTCAGGAGATTAAAAAGCAGTGTGTTTAAAAGCCGACATCCTGCCGAGTCCAAAATACTATACGATTATGCCGCAAGATAATTAGTATTCCAACCGCGCCTAAGTAATCCTTCCTAATCGAAAACATGTTTCAGAATTTCAGTCAACATTTCATGAGATAGGTCACTCACTGTATATTTACGGTGATATCGTTCGCCAGACTATCATAATTACGGGAAGGAAACAGGCATCTTTGTTTTTGCTGTGGTTCTACCAGCGCCAGTCAGCAGTCCTGTAAGATAAGTAAATATGACCTCGGAATCTAGCGCCTGGAAAGTCATTGAAACCGCGTTCGAAGTTCAAGTCATCCCGTACTTTGGACTAGATCCTCCAGAGCTGATTAGGGGTAACAGGTCAGGAATAACTCTCCCAGGAGAAACTCAGAGACCTTGGTAGGATTCGAATGCGCGACGTCAAGGGCGAGGCTTGAGTATGACCAAAACTCTAACCATCTGAGTTCTGATACCCCGGATCGGCAGCCTTGATTTGGATCAAATTTGGGTCAAACGAATTACTGAAATCAGTTAATCAGTTGGAATTGGAAACTCAGTTCGAGAACCTATGGAATCAAACCTATGACCTAGTGCCCTCTTCCACAGACAGTATCCAACACTTAAAATCAACACTGGTGAATTGCAGTTATCAGTACCTGAACAAGGGGCCAAAACTTCAGGGATTGCTGACAAAAGCACATGTGGAAAAGTTAAAAGAGCTTCGAGAGAACAAAGATATCCTGGTAACTAGACCAGACAAAGGAACAGGCGTCTTTATAATGAACAGATCGGATTACGTAGCGAAAATACAGTCCATATTATCAGACGAGAAGAAATTCAAGAAGGGAGACAAAGAAAAGGATTGCACGGAAGAAGTAGAGACGAAACTGACCGACTGTCCAAGAAGGCTCCACACAGGGGGCCACATAAGCGACCGTGACCTAGAACAGCTTCGACCAGTCGGCACACATATCCCTCGACTATATGGCCTACCTAAAATCCATAAGGAAGGCCTGCCAGTCCGTCCTATTTTAGACATGCGAAACTCTCCGTATCATGCGATAGCAAAGTGGCTAGCAGAGAAACTCAAGCCTGTACAGCGTCAGCTAGCAACACGCAGCTACAGAGATACCTTTGAATTCATTGACGACATCAAAGACCTTAACGTCAACGGCATGGTGATGTTCTCGCTAGACGTCTCATCACTTTTTACAAACATTCCGGTCACCGAGACAGTTGGCTACCTCTGTGATTTTCTATCTGCCAGCCAGCAGGAAATAGGGATTCCGACGAATACACTCAAGGAACTATTACTAAGATGCACATTAAATGTGCAGTTCCTGTTGGACAACCAACTCTATAGACAAGTAGACGGCGTTGCTATGGGCTCACCCCTTGGACCTCTCCTAGCAGGTGTCTTCATGGGAAAATTGGAGAGATTCCAACTAAGCGAACAGATCGATAAGCTTAAACATTACGGTCGCTATGTTGACGATATCTTTGCCATTGCCACTGCAGAAACCGATGTGGCAACCCTCTTAGATGCGGCAAATCAGGCACATCCGCCGATCAAATTCACGCTGGAGATGGAAACGGCCGGTTCGCTCCCTTTCTTAGATGTTCTTCTAAGCAGGAGACCTGACGGGAGTGTCCGAAGAAGCGTCTATCGGAAGAAAACCTGGTCTGGACAATACACGAACTTCGCCAGTTTCGTACCCCTCCAACAAAAACGAAATCTCGTCCGATGTTTGGCACAAAAGGCTAGAAAAATTTGCTCAACAGATAGCATCGAGGAGGAGCTCAGAAAAATCCAGAACTTCCTTCGCGAAAACGGATATCCTGAAAGGTTTATTGAAAAGAATATTGCTGAACGACCGATCAAACCCGCCACACCGACCGCCGAAAAGAAGACTTTGTTCCTCAAGGTCCCTTTTCAAGGGGACGCCGCGAGTGAACTCCTAAAGAGACGCCTTGATCAAGCTGTCTCGCGAACCTTCCCAGCAGCAAGGGTTCAAATAGCATTCTCCACTAACCCGATTTTACGTGGAGAAGGGAAGGATAAGTTGCCTGGGTTTTCTGGCACCTACAGGAAAGACGCATACTTCTGAGTCCGTAAATTTTCGGAGTTATGTGGTAGCATGGCGACTGCATCCTACAAATACTGCCGTCCCTTGTGCATGAACTACCCATATCTGCCATTGCCTCTGGATTAAATTAAATTGGCAGCCTAAGCTTTGGTTTCGACGATATCCACGATGTGTCCCACAGCAGAATTAGAGCAGGCATGGTGATTTGCACGTGAATTAGTTTATTATGATGGCGAACTAGCGCAGTATCTACCGCACGCTTTCTCTCTCTCTATTTCCCGCCCCTACCTGGTCTCGGTGTCAAAACAAGGCAGAATGAGCCGACAGAAACCCGCAAAAAATCATGCCGCCGCACCCTCAGGTTCACAACTAGCAATGGCCAGGACCTTATTCAACCAACAAAGAATGGGAGGCTACTCGGATTCCAATTGATGCGGCCCGCGCCTATCACACGCCGTCCCACTCATCCCTACGTATATATCCAAAATATCCCCCCCCCCAGTGGTTGATATCTTCCTCAGAATGCTCGACATTCGACAAGAAGCCAGAATTCTGATAGAGAGAATCCAGCCTTTCAAAATCTGCTGGACTGCCAAGAAGAAGACTCCATTTAGACAATAAAGGCTACTTTGACGGAAGTCAGTCTGTGGTAGAAAGTTGCACACAGTAAATATGTCTGATGGCAATAGAAAAGATGGTAATCAACTGTCGTATGAACTTCACAGGTAAACTCTCTGTCAATATCCATAAACTGGGCTGTCTCAATGACTGGATCTTCTCCTACGGTTATGGCAAAACTACGGTAAAATGAATCTGCAAAAGAAGCGAAGAACATTAATGCATTTGCAATTAATGTTGAGAATGTAAGGGATCATTGTAAAATAAATCTGTTATTCACTTGGCTTCTGGATAAATAGGAATAAGTCGCTGTCCGACGGTTTATCTGCTACGATAAGTTGAACTGTTTCCAAAATACCGTCATCGACTACGGATATAGGGTGACTACAATAAAATGGACCTGCAAAGAAGAGTGGCGATAGTGAGTGAATGCGCAATATCGATTGGAAGACAATGCTATACAATCAATCTTTCAGGACTTTTCTGAAAGAAATAAATTGGTATAGTCCATGGATGTTTGTTCTCCATTTGCAGAAATATAGTTCCGTATCCTATATTCGTTTTAGTACTATGTGGGTGTACAAAAGCCATAGGCGCCTTAGTAGAGCGTAATCATGTTTTGATTATACCTCATCTGCTGGCTTTAATGGCCTTAGCGAAAGTACCTCTCTAGCATCGACAATCAGGCGCTGAGTGTATGAGGACCGAACATCGAAGGTCAACGACTTGACGAAGCTCTCGGTCGGGATTTGAGCTGACAACCCCCCCCCCCCACCTCCCGCCTGCACACCATATCCATGTAGACATCATCGTTGTACCCGTGAGACAGGCGATGGAGAAGGTGCCCGAACCAACCGAGTCAGATCTCTTAATTAGCCACATACACATTGTTGCGGTTTTGTTCATGCCAGTTCAGATCGCCTTCAATCAAGGCGAAATCTTCGACCTACCCCGAATAACAGAGACAGCAGTGAGTTAAAGCCTCCAGCGTTCGCTTGCCTCCGGTCTCGTTTGCTTGTGTGGGATCAATGACTAGACGGTATACAAGTGATGATCCGCAGATCCTCCCTGCCATTGTCTTTCCATGAGCAATAATCGATGGTACAGGTGTGAAGGAAATCAATAAGGGAAATGAACTAGATCGAAATCGTTATCCCTGATTCGTTAGTATCCTACCGCTGTTCGGTGATTTATAGACCTCAAGTGAACTTGCATTTTCATGGATGCTGACTGTTACGTTACTGGTTATCAAACCAGCAGGAAGAACGAGAGAGGAAGTGAATAAAGGGAAGATGGATCAAGGAGGATTATAGACAATGCTTAGAAAATTATCTTTACACCTCCGATGAGGCAGCCAACTTAGTTTGCTCAATGTCTGCATTTGCGGACAAAGAAACTACGTCGGAAAAGCTGGACGACTGTTCCAAGCGCGAGCGAATGGCCGAACACGCGACAGTGGTGCAGAGAAATGACACCAGCCATCAAGATACGGTTCATTCCACGAGATCTGACTCCACATTTAGATTGTACTTGGCATTACAAGAGTGCCACGGACGGGTCTGCTTCGACCCTACAACCTGCAGGTATTATGGTCTAGCCAACGTTGAATGTCCTTAGTTTGAATTGGCCACTTTATAGGTTATATCGACGCAAAGGGTTTTTCCGATGATACTTCAACCCTCATGACCGGCAATGTCCAGCAGCAGAGTGGAAGGAGGGACGGTGACTTGCACAGCCTCTACCGCAATTTCTCCTCCCCCACCTGAGACTGATGTCAAGACGAAGTCAAGAAGACCGGTGGCGAGAGAGAACGCAAGTGGCTAGCACAGCGTAAATTCGAGCCTAGGCATACCACCACACTCTCTGGTTCACGACGTACACTGACCAGGACTTTACACAACAAGAGGAAAGACGGACGACTGAGATATCACGTAGCCGAAGTGCTATGGAGGTCACAATAAGAAGCCACCATTGCAGCCTAACACTCAGACCATTAGTCGGCCGATCCACACAAACACACAATACTGGGCCGGTTGCGAGGTCCGATTTATTCCGTCAATTGGTAACCTTCCAAGACACAGCTTTTAGTGCACCGATGCAGCTCCAAACGCACTCGACTGCTCATAGTGAGGAATATGTGCTGAGACGGAATGGGTTTCACCGTGTTCACTGCCTTCTCGCTGCATTTTATAAAAAATAGACTACTTCATCGTTTTCAGTAAAGTGGGAATGAGAGTGACCGGATGGCAAACGCGTTCCTCGGGCGAAGTCCGCAAATAACATGGTCAATTCCATCACCAGGACGAGTTGGCAGGGCATGCTTTCGTTTCCAAAACTTTTGTACAACTGAGGCTTCACTAAAAACCTGCAAATATTGTCCGGCTTCTAAAATTTGAGCTTTTTTCGCTTCCTCTTTGCCAAATCAGGGTTTCGGCGGGTAGATCCCGCACGCTCGGAGAGAAGGAAGTGTCTAGAAAATAAGGACGTACGATCATTGAAGAAAGGAATCTAACCCTCAGACGTTTCGGATTCTTGCTCCCATCCGTCATCATTCTCCAATTACAGCCGCTTAGCTTTGGTCAGGATGTTTGATTTTCAATAGAAATCTTTTTTGGATTGCAACTATATGGGGCAGTCTGACAAAAGCGAGGTCATAAAAAGTTCATGAATCAGAGTGTGTGCGTGACAGCAGAAATAAATCAAATGTGAACCAAAACTGTTCTAATCTACCTGAACGACGTATGTCGAGGAAGGTTGATGCTACCGATTTCAGTCAAATCCAAGAGTGTGGTAGAAAGGAATTCAGCATGCGGAACTTCCAATTAGGCCAGGGGCAACTTAACCCACATTGTTTCAGACGACCTTAGAAGAGAAGGCAAGGGATCGGGTCAGTTTCCATTTAAGAGTGCCCTCGGGCTGATGGGATTTCGCATGCCTAAGTCGGCCTTAAGTTTAAATACATATTTCGTCCGAAAGCGCCTACAACAGTCTCGATGTATTTTACGCGCCTTAGAAATATCGATGCGGTCATAGCATTCTCCACTCTACGGGAATCGAGTATGTGAGACTAACTTCAACCATAAGCAATAAGTTCGTCCCATCTAATGACAGAAGTCAAGGAGCTGCGAGAACTGGTTTATTCTATACATAGGGCAGTTTGTCGTGACTTATCTGCTGGCTTGTGTATCAAAGCAGACGTCCGTTAGCGGGAAAGCGTACGTCGTGATGTGTTGTTTGCGCGGGTTCCACATGTCTCTGTCATCATGGGAGTATGTGTAGCTGAATGTCGGAAATGTGATTGGCTGTTTTGAGGGCGGAATTTGAAGGCGCTTGATCACAAGGGCAAACGGGAAATAAACCACGGCGTCCGACGCGCGTGAAACAGTGAAATATTTTCTGCTCAGGCCTGAAGGATGGCCAAACGCTAACGGTGCGTCTGTAAGTCACCGCTGGACTATATCCTCGTTCGGTGGCGAGATCGACAGAACGTGATGATGACCGAGGCGACCTGCGACGTTTATGGCTAGACGGATCATCGCCTCGCCATCTCCAAGATGAACATAAACTTGTAGGAGGCCATAAGGTAAGCGACCATCAGGTAAGCTGAATACTGCATTGTTATCTTTGCCTGCTCACCGTTTGCATTTCAACAATCAACTGATCCAACGCCTGGAAGACCTGCCAGGTCCAGATGAAACCGCCTCCATGGAGAGAATCGATGGTGCCGACTACGGAGACCACCCCGGCTGTCCTCGACCGCGCACGTCATCAGCACCAAAACCAGTTTGACGAAAATGACGCCGTCATTGATAATCTGCTGGCCGAGAAGTACAGGCTGCAGGGAGCCTACCTCGACCGCCCAACGGATGAGAATAAACACGCCTTCTATAAATGCCGTCGCCTATCACAGCAACGATTGCGAAAAATGCAGGACTCCTGGATGACTCGTAAGGCCGAGGAGATCCAGACATACGTCGACCACAACGACTGACAGAATGTCTTCGCTGTATTCAGGGCAAACCACGGCCCCCGACCGGAAGATGCGCATCCGTTCTCAGCTCTTATGGATCGACCCTTTTGACGGGGTCGGTGGTGCGGCGGTCGATGTGAGACGCAAGCACAAGTGTTCTCAGTAGATCAACGAAACGAAGTCCCTATAATCACAAATCAGAAACGAACATATCATCTCGGATGGTCAGGAAGCCGCGCAAGGATGGAATGCAAGCTGTCTTCTTAGGCAATTGTCTGCGGAAGTGCATCGCCTCGAGACTTCCTCCGGCTGATGAGGCCAACCAGTGAAGAGAGGAATATGGATTGAGTTCAGGCATTGGCGCAATACTGCAGTCCCTTGTGCATGAAGCGCCCATATCTGCTTTTTTATCTGATGATGGGTTCGAGCAGGAATCCGGAACGTCAGGCTGATCAAGCTCTTGTCCCAGCGATCGTGTCCTCTTCAAGACCACTTCCTGGGACTCATCTCTTCGCTTCTATTGGCCGATGTTGCCACAGACGCATAAGCCCAATTTGGCAGACAAAGGTGAAACGAGTCAGCTGTGACGGTGGCGATCGCGTGAGCAGACTGCAACACGGCCGACTCCTCACCAGATGGCACGACGGGCACCTATCCCATTGGAGTTTCTATCGCTTCGACCGCTCAACGACAAGGCGGGTACATGAACATTACAGACACCAGAGGACCGAACTTGCCACCTGTTTGTTGAAATACAGAAACACCTAACCATATTGCAGCTGGCGTGGCTTGATTGGCCGCCCTAAGGGACAACGGCACTACTGTGTCCCTCTGACGCGATCGGCGATTGCACGACAATCAAAGATGCATAATTCCTTCCAGAATCGCGAGTTTATCTCGTCGTAGTGTAAAAGTATTAAATGTCCGACTTCCGGTAGGATTTTTGCGCCTGTTTCGAAATGATTACTCACCTGAGCTTTTAGTACATTTAGATTCCCACTGATGTCTACCGGTCCGCTGGCTATGTGTCAATCACGCCACTTCTGCAACGACCTTGTATTCAACTGGTACATGCCTGCACATATGGATATCAACAACAGTTAACTGCTAGGCCAGCATTTGATTGACTATGTGGTTTGGCGTTCCGTACGATCTGCCTCTGACATCATGAGAGCACTCACTGAAGAACAGTCAATTTCATACTCTCCTGTAGGCAAATGGAATTTGAGTGCCGGTCAGGGACGTCAGATTGGTAAAATTATTGTTCAATCGGCAGTCTCCTGTAGCTCACATTTTTTGCATGTATCGACAATATCTACTAATACGTGCATCCGTCACAATGTCTACGAGACGCAATCGTTATAGAGTACAGTCGTGCACGTCTATTTATGAATATTAGTTTGCTAGTCGGAGCGGGATTTCCTTTGCGTTCCTGCCATTTCACGGGCCTTTTCCATGAAACCCGCACCACCTTTATCCCTTCCGTCATAGTCGGGCCAAATGGAAAAGGTAGAAGTGGAGGGCATCGGTGGCTTTTCGGCATAGGAGCGATTTGCATACGATAATGAACTCGTACTATTTATTGCGTAGCGATATCTGACTTTAATGCTAACGTATTTCAAAGACAAAACGTGAGTAAACGCATTTAGATAAAAAAAGTGATTCCTTTGGTAAAAACTTGGCGATTGGTAGTTTAAATGAACAGACATACCGCTAGCCACCTCTTTCGTGTACTGCTTTAAAAACGCCAGCGTAGCACCACCATAACAAGAAAATATAAATCATTACGAGAAAGACGGCGTGAGGAGAATATACTTGTCTGGCTTATTGGCCGCTGTGTTTGGCGCTCAATCTAGAACTCTCGCAGGCGGTAGCCCCACGACCAATGTTGACCTAGGAGGTCACCTGACACGGGTGACATTACCTCAACGACTACTCAATAAAATTATAATTATTACATCCTGCGCGACACACACGACTTGCCGTACTCCTAATTGAGAGCTTATTTCATTGCCTCCACGACAGAAAATGGAACAACTACGCAGGTTACAATCACAGGTGGCATAAACTTTAAACTTTCTTGCATTTATGTCACAATCCCGCACAGACCCTTTATATTTCTAATCAAATTCTACATTAGAACTGACAGGAGATAAGTTATGCTGCTGAAATAAGTTTATGGGGAACGTTTCAAACATCGATTTGAATAATCCACTTTAAGTTCGGATTCAGTTGAGTTTAATCATGTGAATCGTAGGGCACACCAAATGAACATCGCTTGAGTCACAGTCCAAAACCTTTCTCAAAATTCGTCGAAACGCCAACTCGCTGTTACTAAGCCAGGGTTAATCCTGTAAACTCCATGAGAATTCCTCTACATTTTTGCCCTACTGTCGTCTACTAACCACGCCCGGTTGTCCGTGAGTTTAGCAGGATTACATTTATGGATTACATTCGTGCAAAATGGTGGCTAAATGTTGCTTTAACATCCGGAGGTAAAGATGTGTTATTGCTTCCCATCCTCGCACTTATTTTGCGTTTATAAACTGTCAGCGTGCTACGCCCACACTCTTCGAACGAGAGCTCAATGTGCTATGCTACTCTGACTCTGGCTGAATTAACCATACACTATTTATTTTCTGCCTCTCTCGGAAAGATCTCCCCACATTTTCCTCATGCAATAATTCAAACGACCAAATTCAGGTAATGAATGGAGAAAACCTTCAAAAAGCTCGTTTTCCCCTTCAGTAACTCTCATCCCGGCTAACTGATATGTGAATTTACACCCGAAGATTGGTTAGTCGTAGTGAAAGCGAATGCGTGATTTTATGAAAAGTAAAGCAGTCTGGAAAACTTTATTTTTTCTCCAGATTCACCTACAAGAATTGGGTTTACATGGCGTTTTGAGTAATTGATTAGCATGGGATCCCATGAACTTTGAAGGAGTCTTATCAAAGCCACCCTTCATTCCTTCTTCCAAACCAGGACTTCGTAGTCCTTAACCGAATGTTCACGGCCCCAGTATGACAAATAGGCACAGGAGTGGCCGGCATGTACCTGAAAGACGGAATTTAAGAATAAAGAGCTTGGTTTGTACGATATCGAAACAGGACCTATCTCGCAATGGATAGGAGCCACAAGGCGTAGTCGTTGACCGACCTCTTAAAATGTTAACCAAAATTCTGAAATGCGCTTTGCTCACAAGGGTTACTTACGTGGGTTGCACGGTTTGTATTTTCAAACAAATAACAATCACAATGGCTATCAAAACAGTCCCTATGTGACAATGATTAAACGCACGTTGTCGGCAAATTGCACTTAATGACCGATCTTATGAAAGGTTAGCCGATATTCTGAAGTGCGCTTCCAATTAGAAAGGGTTACCCAAATAATGTTGTACCGTTGGAAATCTAGCTGCGTAATCCTAAGATTACATTTGAATGCACTTCTTTCCGACTGTCTACAGACACTGCCCTCGTGAATAATGACTACATAAATGACATGGATTTTCTTTTATTTATTTTCAGCATTCTTATAAATTCAAGTGTATTTTCCAAAATACTTTTTCAATAATATCTCTTCACGTACTCATTTAGTAGAGGTTTAGGTATTCCGAGAACTGTACACTCCGATAAAATGTATCTGTCAGTCTTAAAAAGCTTTCTCATTATGAAGTTATTGAAAGACCGTACAATGTTCATTCGAACAGCCACATACCTGTGAAGTATTTCGGGATTAGGCCACATGCTGATCAATATTTTATCCCCACGTAATTTATCCCTCATAATCGACAACGGAATCCAGAAGTTTACGTAATTGGTCAATTAGTGTATTTGTCGTCGATATGCACAAGGAGACCATGACGAGCACTCGGTGTTCTTTGTGATGGAAGTGAAGTGGATTTCCCTAAGTCAGAAGCCTATATCTGCAGTGCGCTAACCGAATTTGGATCTACCTCCATTTACGTCCGACCACCAATCAACGTCCACGCCCACGACTGCTGCTCTTATTAAAAGCCTAGGCATGCGGTGAAGACAGTAGGAAGGAACTGGCTAGGCTAATTGGTGTCGTTCATGTCTATCAGTAAGGCTTTCCGACACTCTGCATGCTGTTGTCTAGCAGCCACTTGTGCGACTTCTATACGCGAAGACCCATGGCCAGCAGGTAACTTCCTCGGAGAGGGTGTCATCGCTGTCGCAAAATGCAGTGTCAGCTCTAAGAGTTGCCGAAGTAGCCTTCTCACGAACAAATATGACCTGCCAGTCACCAGTTCCCAATGTTTCTAGTTAAATTAACCCTAATGACGCTCTACGTTTCCCCGCTTCCTTTACGAGAACAGGCAGATTTCGAAGAAGCATGTACGAGAGGCCTTCAATTCGAAGATCTCAGCGTTTGCGGCCGCAACTGCAGCTACTTTATTTAGATCTCCTCATCGTCCAACCGAAGGACTCCAAGTTTAACTGCAGAAACCAGGAGTATTCATATGTCAGACAGTGAAGACCTTACAAGGATGAAGGCTGTTAAGAGGGAAAGGATTAGACTGAGGGCTTTGTTCTGAGTAGGCAAGAGTGGACAGGAATAAAAAAAATAAATCCACTTACCTTGCCTGAAGGAATCTCATCCTTAACACGGGCTTTGGCGATGTACAGCGGTTGTCTATCCGACGCGATTCCCGCAACAATCGCTCCCTTCGGAACCTCACCACCACTTGCCGGTACCCATTCGTAACTGGTTGATCAAACAGAAATACCGCAATACTTATTACAAATAATTCGACATTACTGCCACAACAAGAAGGAGATATTGCAGCCTTACTCTTAGACTACTCCACACAAAACACGCATCGTTTCACGTTTCGCCCTTTAGTTGGCCACGTTAATGTCCTCCTTCCTCATCTACCCCCAGGCGGCAGGCGTGATAATTTTATAATTTATTCTTGATTGGGGTGTAGACTGAACCAGCTAACGTTGATCTGACAAATTAGGTGCTACCAAAGGACATTCTTGCCTCTGCCTCATAAACACAATTCTGCATCTCTCCTCATCTTTCCATAAAAATATGGTATGCTAGAAATGCTTTAATATGTGACAGTCTACCTCCGTATTTACCTATCAGCTAGAATTCAGTTAAATCACCATGTAAATCGGAAGTCGCGACCACTTTTAACACGAATCCGGTCCCATGAGAGCGTGACGGTGACAGATGATTGACTCTGCTTAGCGAGGACATAGGTGGCTGGCACGGTCTAAACCCGCACCTAGGCGTACCATCACACGCCCTGCTCCACAACAAAACAATTGATTAGGATTTTATACAACAAATACAACAACTGGCCGGAGGCGGCTCGAATGCCATTAGGTGGGAGTGTCATAGAGGCCACATAAAGAAGGAGTCAGTGCAGCCTGACTCTCAGTCCACCAGTCCGTCACTCCAAACAAAACACAGGAGACCGTCTAGCCGAATCTGAGCCGGCGTTCATTTGTCTATCCACTAGAACATAAATGGCTGTTCGGTAGTTCTGCTTACCAGCAAGGTTGGCCGAGACAACGAGTGTCACAGAGTACTTCGCAGTCCCCCACCGAATGTTCAGCGCCAGCGTACGGTACGTAGGCGGTGTAGAGTGGTGGAATGTACTTTCCGGGGATTTGTTCACCCTCATGCCAAGCGCGACAGACGTAGACGTCGTGCTGTGTCGCAATGGCACCGTCTGGAATGTCGCCGAGTTCTGTCTTCACCCAGGACAGGCCAATCTGTATACCTTTGCCTACTTTGGCCATAATCGAACCTGCTATATCGTGGAAGATGGAGATATGCAGGAGGCTATCTCATAATCACAAATGCAGCATAATGCAAATGTATTAGATTTGTTAGGCAGCATTTTAAGAAACATTCTACATCACGTTGATACCTAAGAAAGCACAAATGCCGCACGCATCCAGTGAACATAAATGACAGTGGCCATGTCACTGTTTCGAAAAGCATACCTATACAGCTCCACACCCCTACTACGTAAGCGACTTAACGGCAAATACCAATCCCATTAAAGCGAAAAATTAAACTGGCCAACAGTCAAATTCTGACCGATTAACTGCGTGACGTAATACATTGAATTTCAAAGAAGGCAAGTGCTGGAATATCCTGTAGGGCTTCTGACAAGTCGTTCTCCATATAACAAATCCTCCTAAAGAAACTAATAGAAGTCATATTATAACCTCTCACTCTTTCCTTCTTTAGAACTCTTCCGAGACAAATGAAACTATCAGTCGTCATAAGTGAGACCGTTAAACACTAACCAAATCAGAGTACACGTCTGCGCAGATAAAATTAAAAGCATTCTGCAATCTAAGCGCACAGTCAAATGAGGAAATAAGTAGCCGGGGCGCTTTCGCTTCGAAGGGAAATGAGTGGAGGAAAGTCAACTCACGAGTGTCAAAAGCACCGTAGTTAGAGCTGCGACATCCATCAAGGCTATTTATGTGGTCCCACCGTAGAACATCTGACGATGCCTATTGGAAGGTCTGCCTAGCGCTGATTGTCAGCCGACCAATCAGAATCGGGCACAATGTCACCGCGTGGCGCAATCGCGAGCGTTGGTGGGATATTCCATCCCGTGCCTCTACACATCTGGCGATTAACAGAAATTGGTATAACAAATCGGGTTTCTTGACGTCGGTTTTTTAAGGATTACTGAATTTGTAGGCTGCAAACTGGTCACGTGTTACTGCCATTCGTGCGGACCAAACCTCCCTGATATCGGCAGTCGATGTTAACGATTTACTCGCGGTTAGAAACCAGTTCTCGCTAAAGTTTTAGAGGTGAAATACGCGAATTGATCAAACCTCACATTCATCATTAGGATTAGTAGCAGCAGTATCAACAAGAACATCAACAACATCGGCAGGATTATTTACCTCCTGAGCGGAGTATATGCGTGAAAGGCTAAAGTTTGGACATCATTGCGTTGCGTCATAAGTTCAAGCGCCTCTGTGCAGATGAACGCTGATGGGGATGGAAATCCACAGCGTCGGCAGCGCTCTATTTTACCTCGACGGGGCACCAATCGACTGTCAGAGCCTATCAGCCATCTGGAGCTAAGGTTGTATGCAGTGAAGTGTACGTATGCAGACCAATCTGCAGACCTATGCATACTTTGGCCAGGATGAATCCTGAAAGGGGGATCAGTAGGATGAAATGAGCACATACTGCAATGTGAGCAGTCAGTAGATGAGGAGAACAAAGGGTTAGATCGCAGTTGGTAGCCAGGAATGGGAAGGCGGACAGTCAGGTCCCTGTCTTACGGGAATGGTGGGAAAGAAGGTTATATGGGTGGGGTAAATGGAAGGGCCGGTAGAGGAATGCTGGAGATTCTGGGTTAAAATACAGTTACCGGGGCAAGTGCTGGGAAGCTTTAAGTAGGTGGAATAATGACAGAAATTTAAACCCTACGCTTAACCCTAAAATACAACCATGACCGCGACCGTAAAGGCTGACACTAAGCCTCAAAACCAAAACGTAACCAAAATCCTAAAACCAAATTCTAACCCAAAACCTTGTCTAACCCTAACCCTAACCTTGACCCTTACCCTAATCCTGACCCTAAGCCTAATCTTAACCCTAACCTTAAGCCTTACGCTAACCCTATCCTTAACCTTAACCGTAACCCTAACGGGAACCTAAACCCTAACACTGAAACCTGACCCTAAGACGCAAACCCTAATAATAAAACTTAACCTACACCTAACCCTCACCTTCCCTAAACCCAACAGCCTGACCTAAACGGGTGACCTGCCTAACTAAGTAAGAGCACACCTACTGATAACAAGTTCCCTATACAAGGTAAGCTTACCTACTGGTAACAAGTACGTACGTCGACAGTACCAATGTATAATGTCTGGCTACCAACTGCGATCTTACCGAACAAAAGCGAAAGTCAACTCACGAACTCCGGAAGACAAGCACCAACACCAGTACGGTTGAGGTCGCCACATCAACCAATGCTGCTTATAGGGCTCCATCGAAGCACAGATTGTTGTGCGCATCCGAGATGCCAGTCAGATTCCGGTAGGTTGTCATCGCATGGCGAAATCGCGCTTGCACAATCGTACGCGGGCATTAAACAGGTGAAGCAAGGTTGACGCAACCAAAAGAGTGTGTGGATCACTGAGCCGCCTTTTACTGCGTGGCTGGCAAAACACGACTGACTCCTTGCTCCTCCATGGTGACTCTGCAGACTGCATGCACTGCATGGCGAAATATTCCGGCCTCTGCCTCCACACGGCTGACGGTTAACGGAAGGGGCTCGTGGCCCGGTTGGCAGAGGCGTGGACTTCTAAACCAACAGTTTGCGTGTTCGAGGCTCGGTTGTTCCACACTTCGGGCTTGGGTATGGCTGGCTGACGACGGCTAATAAGCCAGAAATGGCCATTCCAGTCTCATTTGTCTTTGTCGGTAATATCATTCTGCCAGTAGTTTTTCTTTTAAGTTGGGCAATGGCCAACGTGTTGTTTCCTCTCACGCGTAGGAAGGCTCCTGCGAACATAGACTTAGTCAAGAAGAATTCGGAGACTTGTTGCCTAACTAACCAGCAACCTATACCGCTTCAGTCCGAGCAAGAGGAAGACATTTTGTATAATAAGGCCTTGACTTACGGATACGCGGCTTGAGCAAGTCGAGCAAAATTTAATACTAGTCATGGTCCACTTCGCGATCCACTTAGATGGACTGGGCGATTGAACATCGTTGTTGGTCAACTTAACGATGTGTTTAAGACTATCGCCAATTCCCTTATCCTCATTGGAAGGCCTGACATGGACGGACCGCTAACGCGGGATACACTGCTATTGGGGAACCAATCAATTTCCACTAACGATTGAATGCAGATCCTCAACTTTAGAACCGGATTTCCTTGCTATTTGGGGGGTGGGGGCATACATTGAGAAGGTTAGGCTTGGATAACCCATTGAGGATAACTCTCCGGGTTGTCTATTTCAGATCACTATTCGAGAAGGCAAACAAAAGATCAGCGTCACATCGCTCGGGTCTTAGAATATCTGTAGGTATATCTGTTTATTTTCGGCGCACATATCGCTATCGAAGACGAAGATGCGATCACTGAAAGAAGAAATTTATTGGCCTGACGTTTTGCATTCTCACTCAAACCCATCATCAAAGTCAGTCTGTCTGTAGGTATATCTATTTGTTTACCCGTCACATATGTGTCTGCACCTTGTTTTCCACCACTAATGAGGGTTCATAACCAACCGGTTTCAGAATATTTCACCCATAAGCCTAACCTGAAGTCTAAATTTTTGCTGACTTTGCCACACAGGACGTAACGTTTCGTTGACCTGAAACGCATCCAGCCTTGTACGGTAATTGCCGAATAGTTTCTCGCAAATCATACACATTCATTTCGTTCGGGGAAGGGTTTGGCGTAGTAAACTGAATGCTTCTCCTTAAGACTGCGTAAGCTATTTTTGTCGGCTCTCACTCAGTGACAGACCAGATCAACTTATGCGCTCGAAGAAGACGTGAAAACAAAGCCTGGCAAGGACCGTGCAGCGAAATAATTATAATCAAAACTAATTTTATGGCGACCAACGTATGCATGTATTCAGGTCATAAATCTAGATATTCTATTGCCGTTAGCCGCTTACACGCAGTACTGGCGCACGTAAGATGTACGCTGGGGGGAGGAGAGGCTAGCTCAGAGACCGGACATCATTTCTATTTGTGTGCTTCTCTGTCAGATCATTGATACCAGTGGGCCTACAGCCGCCGTCACCGCGTTCAATGTCCGTAGGGTCTCGGGTCTTATTCTTTTGTTCAAATATTTTCTGCCTACAGATGAACACTTCACCTGCACATGCCCATTTCCGAGGAATTGTGCCGAACTGTAGGCTGGCGTCTTGTGCTCCAGATGAATGGAGATGTCTTCGGGGGTGTGTGTGCGTTCGATGATTTATGGAAGTCTTTTGATCTCGGTTATGTCGTAGGTACAGACGACTGTTAATGTCTAATGCTTTTTGTGTTGTGCGAAAGCTGCCATTTCCTTCTTTTGACCGCAATTAACTTGGGAATCTAAGTCTCTTGAGTAATGATAATTTTGAATTTGATTATTTGGATTTCCGTCCAAAAATAAACGCAAATGCATGAAAGTCAGAAAACAATCCCTGATTTTGATAATATGGCTTCTTCGCGCTATCGAAGTCACAATAACAGACGAACAATTCGGTCCAGTCGGTCGATCCTCCATCAGACATGTATCGGCAGTTCAATTTATTGGATCGTCGCATTTGCGAGGCCGTTTCTAGCAGCTGAATGTTGGGCATTTAGTGACCGGTCAAACACTTATGAATCCATTGCTGCTGGACACCTTTTCGGTTGGAAAAATAGACTAAGCCTCTAAATCAACAGTTCCTTTAGAAGCTCGGAGTGGAGGTTCGTCAGTCTGCTCTCGTTGATATATTTCACCGCGAATGGATAGTCTAGAGAAATTACGAGAACCTGCCAACTGGCGCCATTGCTAGTCGGTAATTTTAGCCAGGTCTCTATCTCACACAGGACCTAGTTCGCACGGGATGGATAAGATCTTCAGAGAGGCAAAGGTGTGGTCGGATCGCACCTGAGTTAGAGTAAGAGAGAGAGACAGTGTCAAAAAGCCTCGTTAAAACGAGATATTGCAGATTGACTCTTCGTCCTGAAGTAACCGACGTATACTTTCAACCGGATATTTTCGAATTCCCGACCCTTGGCGCGCTGTGATAAATTCAAGCGCATCACATTTATCATATTGCGGAATGTGCTGATGAACGCTGATGGGGACGGAATCCCCCAGCGTCGGCAGCACTCTATTTCACCTCGACCGCGCACCCATCATCTGTCGGCGTCTATCAGCCCTCTGGAGCTGAGATTGTGCGCAGTGCCTGACAGAACTGCAAGAGCTCGTCTTCACGGACCATAAACAAGCTGGGTGAGCACTAGGTTATACACATTTGCGTGAGAGGTGCATGTTCTGTGTGTGGAATAGGCAATGTGTTCGGGATTGTGTGCAGAGTGTTGGTCGGTCAAAGATTCTCTGATGTTTGGCTGCGAATATTCAGGCAGGCCTATATGGTCGAGTAGGCCCATGCGTTTGTGAGCAGTGTGCGGAATTAACAGCTCCCGCATCTCACCTCTTAAACTAAAACAAGAATTTGTTCCTAACCACGAGTCATTCGATTGCGCCATGCCTCCGATGATCGAGAGCTGTCTTTCAAATGGAAAGCGACAACACATGACCAGTTGCGCAAACTACAAAACAATTCATTTTCAGATAAACGTTTGAATAGTTCCCCCGCCCACTCCCACACCAAGATGCTTGGCCCCAGTCCCTGCTGTGTGGGGAGGCACATAACAGAACGGGCTCACCGATGACTGAGGCAGCAAGTGCAGATTGCAGCAAATCATCAGCCCAGGTTTGCGCCTGAGGAGAGTACGTTCTCATTCAACCACCGAGTGTTCGAATGCACAGGACGGGATAGATGAAAAACCCTTGATTGCTGAACTGGAATGGAGCAGCAAGGAGTCTGCAGTGTGCTCAGCGAAAACACACAGTTTTGGCGACATTGCATCATATGTCCAATGGGCATAGCAAGCTGTCTTTCAGTAGCTTTGATGGATGCACCAGCTCCAAATTCGGTGGCTTTTCAGAGTTCGTGAGTTGACTTTCGGTTGTTCTATCCCTCCGTAGCAATGTTAGACAGCTAGTTCGAATATGAACAGGGTGGAGAATGTGTCTTTAAATATTGCTTAATAAATTCGACTCATAATTACAATTTGCCATCCACCGGGTTTGGATTATGCTGTGATTCTCCTCTTCATTCTTTCCATCTTCCACAACAATCTGACAGGCTGAATCATGGCCAAAATTGAAGGTGCACAGATGGATCTGTCCTGGGTAAAGGCAAAACCAGGCGACATTCCAGATGGAGCCATTGATGTACAGCCTGGCATCTACGTCTGCCGCGCCCTCTACGAGGCTGAACAAGTACCCGGAAAGTACATTTCCGCAATGTTCGAAGCCTTCGTTCCCTGCGCTGGGCGTGAAAATCCGGTGGAGGCGTGTGAAGTACTCTGTGACACTCGTTGTCGCGGGAAGCCTCCCTGGTAAGAAGACCGTCAGAGGCACTTCTCCCTATTGAAGGTTATCCATACCATCGCGTAGTAATGACATTTATAATGGTCAGTACTCAGCCTGTTTGGGTCAGTTGTCCCCTCTATCCCCTAGTCAAGGAGACAGGTTGTGCAAGCATGGCTGGGATTTTGATGGTCAACTAGACAGTCCGTTGCGTCGCAATACCAGTGAGGCGGTCCACGCAGACATGTAGTCGACATGAGCATAGCGATTCTGGCGTTGATACGTCAGCAGATGAGACATCCGCGTAGCTGAAGCAGGGCTGAATCCTGCAGTGGTTAGGAGTTTGTTGGGGACAGGGACTACTCTGCTTCCAACAACAATCATCTCCCAATGAAAGGGTTAACCCGGGTTTCTGGAGACGATTGTGGCCACAGGTCAGATTTGAAATAAGACCTTCGTCTACATTTACTCACACCTGCTCTTCTATGCAGGCATATAGACCAAAAAGAAACTTCCTGACATCTTCCCCATCAGTGGGAGCAGTCAAATGGGCTGCATTATAAACAGGCCAGTAAAATCCATCCCTCAGTCATGCATCTGCAGACGGTTAAGTGGATGTATCATCCAACTGTCTCTAAAAGTGTTGTTTTGACTCGGAGAGCAGAACACAACAACATGGCGCAGGCGGGAAATTGTGCTACCGCAAACACGGCCCAAAATTTGGGGTCGCAGTATAATTCCTGCAATCTTCGCAGGCCATGTTTACTGTGTGTACCAATTAGAATCCAGACGGATTTGACAGACTGACAAGGAAGCGGCAAACATCACTAAAACCAGCAAGAGGTCAATTCTCAAAGGCTTAATCGGTTTCTAGTAATTCATCTACTAGTCACAGCTTTACTCAAAGATAATGGGAGAATTTCACCTTCTCCATCGCCTTCATTCACTCGGCTCCACCTCCGACCGTGAAGGATGTCACAATCAGCTTGTCACAGTAATCACGGCAGACGCTCTTAGGAACGTCGAGTCTACTTTCACTACATTCCTCGCCTAATGGTGGCGCGGTTGTAGGGCAAAAGCCGCGCGAATTGATCCACAAGCCTCGTCTGCAAATGGGACAAAATGAAATTCATACTAGAATGATCGGTGGTCCAATGTGAATGTCTTCCACTGCATGCACACATCTTACAGTACTTACTTCCATTACAATTATTAAAAAGTATGCACTCTCCAAATTAACTTTAAACAGTACAATCAGACACTACTTCTCCTCTGATCTGCAGTTTGCGAACAACCACATTAGCAACTATGACAGCGTGATGAAATAATGTATTCTGATGACTGTTGGGGAAGCGTCAGGAATAGAGGGTGTCAAGGAGATTCAACAAGCGCGCAGACTGCAACAGTGAAGAAGTGCACTGCCAACGTCAAATCTCTCCCACGTATTGAAACTACCGGCGTACATTCATGGCTGACATTAAGGAGACACTAAGCAAGGTAACACACCAGCTCGCCCACCGCCGTAGCTCCAATGTAGCGCTGAGCTGTTGCCACGCATGCCTCCCCGAACGTCACATGTGCACCCGTGGACGTGTTCGCAGGGTTCAGCGTTCAACCGGAATAGGAGTGCCTAGCCGTAAAGGTCACTCCGTGGTATAGGCTCTCAAGGCGAATTTTAGCTTTTAAACTCAAACGACTTCAGTTGAGCGTATCTTGAATCATCTACAAGAGCATAAACTTGGTCGAATGCATAGGCTGATGACGGAGTGTGAAGTAGGGCTGAGAATGCTACCACGTTCCGCGTTAATCCCACACAGGACTCATTAAACTGCACATCAGTCTCTCAGACACCGAGTCATCGGTCTGAAGTCTGCATCGCTTTTGTTGACAACGGCAGTAGAGAGGAATAGGAGTCGAGGTTATCTTGTGGAAGAGATGGATGGCTGATGGAACGCCATGGGGGAGGGGTCTCACGACATGCAACCTGCCTGCACTCAATCCCGATGTCAGATGACTAAACGCCTCGGAGAGTAGACCAGTGCGGGAGGGAGACGGAACATAAAGTGAGATCGAGGCTGTGGACTCCGTCCCCAAAACCCTCAAACGCACTTAGTTTAGTCGAGTTTATTTGAGAGCTATTTAGATACTGGCAACTAGACTACCTATAGCAGATATGACGCGCTGAAGGCTATGAATAGGAGGGATGCCAAATGACGGCATAAATCTACCCTATCAGGGTTGGGGATCAGGCTGCAACAACTCCTGCGGAATACGGCATCTATAGCACTTTAAACCAGATTGTATCTAAGTCCTCCTCTTTATTCCACGAAACGTAGTGCTTCGTAGAGTAACCCTTTAGTTTTGTCGTCCACCGCACACAAACATGCCTACAATCGTCCCGGAATGAGCCTTTTCACAGATTCCAGGAGGGCGAGGGAGAGAGAGAGGCGTGCGGCAGATGCTGTGCAAGTCAGTTGTCATGGATTTATTTATTAACAGAAAAGAAATAGTAACTTCTCCATCGCCTTCATTCACACGGCTCCACCTATGACAGTGAGGGATGTCGCAATCAGCGACAGTAGTCACTGCAGACGCTCTTAGGAATGTCGAGTCTGCATTCACTACATTTCTCGCCAAATTGTGGCGCGGTTGTAGGGCAACAGCCGCGCGAATGGATCCATAAACGCAAACGGGACAAAATGAAATTATCGGTCATGAATACAGGGTTTGAAGGCGATTCAGCAAGCACATAGTTGGCAACAGTGAGGACGTGCATTGCCAACGTCAAATCCCTCTCACGTATTGCAACTGCCGACGCACATTCCTGGTTGGCATTAATGAGACAATTACGAAGGGGCTACACCAGCTCGCCCAAGGTCGTAGCGTTCCTAACTCGAACTGAGGGACCGTTAATTGTGCACACCTACAGGTTGGCAAGTAACGTCAAACCCTACTAGAGCTTCTTATCTAAGGCCTCATTCATTGTTGCGGACTCACTTACTCGCCTGAACAACTGGAGCAACTATCGTCGATGGAAACAATGTGGCCGCAGTGGCCACCTCCCTGTTCGCCTATAATGCCCTCGAGTGGTTAGCTTCAGCATGTAGCCCTAACGCAGATCATATTTGATTTCAAACCCCAATGCGCTCACAATACCCCCCCCCCGGGACAACATCGACTGGAAATTTTCATCGCTACTGCCATTTACGACCGTAGACTGACTGAATTTCCAACGATCACACCACGAGGTACAGAGCTGGAACCCACTGCAGTGTCTATCCACACGAATTTGGACGAGGACTGTACTGTGATTGAACTGGCGCTCAATTTAAACAGGGACTACTCTGCATCCAACAGCAATCCTGTTCAAATGAAAAGGTTTCAGGAGATGATTTTGGCCACAGTTCAGATTTGAAATACGACCTTCGTCTACATTCTGTCACACCTGTTCTTCCATGCAGGCATATGGACCAAAAACAAACTTCCTGACATCTTCCACATCAGTGGGAGCAGTCAAATGGGCTGTATTATAAACGAGCCAGTAAGTCCCGCGGAAGACCAGCCTCTTCACCGGTACAGCCGATGGATACGCTGGACCAAAACGAGAGCCAGATAAGGGTAGAGCAGTATCTAACCAGGTTGTGCAGAGTTCGCCTATCCCACAACAAATGCCACGCTTGGGTAGGGGGGGAAAGGCTGATGGAACGCCATGGGGGAGGGGTCTCACGAAATGCAACCTGCCTGCACTCACTCCCGATGTCAGATGACTAAACGCCTCGGAAAGTAGACTAGTGCGGGAGAGAGACGGGACATAAAGTGAGATCGACGCCGTGAACTCCGTCTCAAAATCCTTAAACGCACTTAGTTAAGTCGCCTTTATTTGAGAGCTATTTAGATACCGGCATATAGACTACATATAGGATATATGACACGCTGAAGGCTGTGAATTGGAAGGATGCCAACTGATGGAATAAATTGACCCTATCAGGGTGGGGGATCAGGCTGCAACAACTTCTGCGGAATACGGCCTCTATGGCACTTAAAACGAGATTGTTTCTTAGCCCTCCTCTTTGTTCCACGAATACTTAGTCCTTCGTGCGCTGACCAGGCCTGCGTAAACCAGTCCTTTACTTTTGTCGGTTACTGCGCACAAACCCGCCTATAATCGTCCCGGAATGAGCCTTTTCAGCAGATTCCAGGAGGGTGAGAGAGAGAGGTGCGGCAGATGCTGTGCAAGTCATGGATCTACTTATTAACAGAAAAAATAGTACCTTTTCCCTCGCCTTCATTTACACGGCTCCATCTTCGAAAGTGAAGAATGTTGCAATCAGCGACATTAATCACTGCAGAGGCTCTTTGGAATGTCGAGTCTACTTCCACTGCATTCCTCGCCAAATGGTGGCGCGGTTGTAGGGCAACAGCCGCGCGAACTGATCCACAAGCCTTGTCTGCAAACAGGACAAAATGAAATTCCGATATGAATGATCGGTGGTCAAATGTGAACACCTTCCACTGCATGCCGCATTTTACAGCGCTTATTTCCATTACAATTATTATAAAGTATGCACTCCCCAAAGTAATTTTAAACAGAAAAATCTCCTCTGCTCTGCATTTTGCGAACAACCGCATTGTTGCCTTTGGCAGCGTGATGACATAATGCGTTCTGATGGCTGTTGGGGAAGCGTCAGGAATAGAGGGGACCAAGGAGATTCAACAACCGCGCGGAGTGCAGCAATGAGGAAGCGCACTGCCAACGTCTAATCCTTCTCACGTATTGCAACTGCCCGTGCACATTCCTGGCTAGCATTAAGGAGACACTTACGAAGGTACAACACCAGATCGCCCACCGTCGCAGCGTTCGTAAGTCGAATGTAGCGCTGAGCTGTTGCCATGCATGCCTCCCCGAACATCAAATCTGCACCCACGGACGTGTTCGGGTGGTACAACGTTCGACTCGTCATCACTTTGAATCGGAATAAGAACACCTAACGGTAAAGGTCATTCCGTGGCATAGGCTCTCAGGGCAAATTTTAGTGTTTAAGTGCAAGAGACATCAGGCGAGGGTTCCTTGGGCCATCTACAAGAGCATAAACTTGGTCGAATGCATAAGCTGCTATCGGAGTGTGAAGTAGGGCTGAGAATCCAACGAAGTTCCGCGTTATTCCCACGCAGGGCTCACCAAACTGCACATCAGCCTCTCAGACACCGTAACAGCTCTGTGAAATGTGCATTGCTTCTATTGACAACAGCAACAGAGAGGAAGTAGTGCCGTTGTTATATCTTCTTGATAACTCCAGAAATCCGGCTTCATTTGGACCCCTAAAGAACAGTTCCTGGCGCCGGCAATGCAAGACAGTTGTGCAGAGTCAGAGGTAAACAGAAGAAGGTGAAGTAGAAGTGCACAGTTGGGACTCCTTATTATCACTAGCTGACTGTGAGAGCCTCTAGTACGTCCTCTCATTAACAGTAAGGAATAAATGCGGCCCACTTCACGACCGCGTACTCCAACCGTCTGTGCTCGAGAGGACTGCAGATGACAAATGCCGAATTAAAAGAATACACCAATAAGAAGTCGTGGAACTAGGCACCCTCCACGTCATACGGGTGGTCTTGAGCTAAATCGCAGGGAGATTTGGGCAAGGATTAAGGTTAGAGCTGAAAGTCAATGCTTATTTTAGGATTTGGACACGGAAAAAACGTAATCTTACAAGAATATAGCTAAATGACATCGGAATTACGGGAGGGGCTCCGTTCGGCATGTCCACTGTTCCCCTTCTGCCCCGACCCTCCAAACACCTACCTTGGACTACTTCAACCGTCTTTCATGATCCACGCGCTCGATCTTTAAGATCATTTGACCTGCTAGGGAGCTTTCGTAGACATCATAACTGTATCACGCTCCAAAACAATCACAGATATCCGCTGGCATGGCGGTCTGCACTATTTCCCACGTCTGGGCTTGCGGCTCACATCGGGGAAAATGGTCACAGTTTTGATTTTCAAGGAGCAGCAGTCTTACGCAGGGACACCTCAGGGACAGAATATCTCATACCTGAGGCTTGGTACTCAGATGCCAACTCCATCAACAGGCATCTACACCTTCCTTCGGCCTATGACAGCTCGACCATCGGTTTCGATTATGTCCACCGTGTGCCCCACAGTTGCAGCAGCAATGGGAGCAGGGACGGTGACCTGCGCAGGGGTTTATAGTGCCGGTAGACTTGCGTAACATCTACCTACACTCTCTCCTCCTCCCTCGTCCGAGCCCGGTGTCAAGACAGTGTCAAGAAGACCGGAGACGAGAGAGGCCGCAGGTGGATGGCTCGGACGGATCCTCACCTTGGCGTTCCACCACACCCCCTGGTCCACACAACAAATAACCAGGATTTCAACAAACACAAGAGAGATTTGGAGGCTGGCACAGCCGAAGCCGCACCTGGGCGTGCCGCCAACGCCTGGCTCGGATCCCACACTGTGATGGGAGTGCCATAATGGCCACATTAATAAGGAGCCATTGCAGCCTGACTCTCAGACCGCCTCCAGTGAAGGAGGAGGTCCAAGGTACCCCATCAGTTAGCAACCTTCCAAGCCACGGCTTTTAGCGCACCGTGATAGCTTCAAGCGCGTCAGATTGTTTATAGTGAGGAGAAAATGCGCTGAGTCGTCGACCTCACTCTCCCTTCCCACTCCCACACCCCAGCCGCTGTCCGAGCCGGTCAGCACACTGGAGTGGGGAATGGGCGAGGTGGCTGTCATGGTCGACTGACCATGACTGCGCGCGCCACGGCACGACCTGGCCACCCATACACACAAAACCAGGATTTCACACAACGGGGGTTGAACGGCGTGTCTCTCACTTGCGTGAGAGTGCCGTGGAAGTTGCTGTTGCAGCCCGTTCCCAGCCCACCAGTCCGCCACTCCACACAACACACACACAACACGACAAACGGCGTGAAACGAGAGCGGGCGTCAATCAGCAACCTTCCTATCCACGGCGCTTGACGTGTCGGGATAGTCTCGGACTCAAGTCACCCGTGCAGTCGAAGCCGCATGGGGACCGAGTCGAGATGCGAACTTCCCACTTGCGTGGGAGGTGGCAGTTGGGTGCATGAGGTATGTGAGTGTTGATTTCTGGTGGGGTGATGGTGGTGGTGGAGGAGGTAGGGAGTGAGTGAATGTGTGGTGTGGCCGGCGGTTGTCTACCGCAGGTCGTCGTGGATGCGGATGTGGCCGAAAAGGCCCATGCGATGCCTGAAGGTGCGAGGGCAGTGTGGGCAGTGGAGGCGAGTGCGGTGGGTGTAGGTTGATGCTTCACGCACTGATTCGCCAGTCTCTGTGCGATGGATTCGCAAGTGACCGACCAGACCGATGTGTGAGTTGAAGGTACGGTCGCAGTGAGGGCAGGTGTAGTCCTGATCCTCATCCCTGGAGTCAGGGGAGGTGGTGTTAGTGTCGGTTGCTGTGCGCGGGACAGTCGCCTGAGCGGCCGCCGTTGGAGTATTGGGCGAGGAGGAGTAGGAGGATGAGAAGGACGAGGATGGTGGAAGTGATGGGTCAGAAGAATTGTCAGGGTTAGTTGGCGGCGGAGAGGAGGAGGAAGAGGCAGGCGGGGGACGATGGTTGGTGCCGTTCGAGAGGCGCAGTTAATCCGAAGATGTCCAACAAGTCCGATTCGAGCCCGGAATGTCCGTTGACATCGAGGACACGTTGGAAGCGGTCGTGCGGCGGCGTTGCTTACTGGGCGAAGTTGTGATTTGCGTGCTTCACGTTTCGCTTTGGCGGTAGCGATGCGGTTGGCTTCGTAGATCGCAGCGCCTGTCCTTACTGTCCTCCTCCAGGCCGGTCGATCGAGTGCGAGCTCCTCCCAGTTGGTGGGGTTGATTTGCAGGCATTTCAGGGAGGACTTCAGGGTATCCTTGTAACGGCGAATCTGGCCTCCTTGACGGCGAGAACCCATCGCGACGTCTCCGTAGAAGAGTCGTTTGGGTAGTCGCTAGTCGTCCATGCGCACCAGGTGGCCGCTCCAGCGCAGCTGAATTTGCCTCAGTATGGCGTAGATGCTGAGGATTCCTGTCCGTTCCAGCACATCAGTGTCGGGGATTCGATCCTGCCACTTCAGCCTCAGGATGCGACGAAGACAACTGGAGTGGAAGTGGTTCAGACGACGTGCCTGCTCGGCGTACACCGTCCAAGTCTCCGCTCCATATAGTAGTGTCGGCAGGATGACGGCCTTGTAAATCTTCAGCTTCGTGCTCAGCTGAAGACCATAACGATTCCAAACTGTGCTTTGGAGGCGACCGAAGGCTTGACTGGCTTTCGAGATCCTGTTGGCGACTTCGTCATCAATCTTGGTGTTGCGGGAGAGAGTACTGCCCAGGTACGGGAAGTTCTCCACCACTTGCAGTTGGGTCCCATTCACGCTGATTTGCGGCGGCACGTTGGGGGCTGTGGCCGAGTTTGGTGGCGGTTGGTGCATCACAACCGTCTTTTGTGTGTTGATGACCAGACCGAAGTTCTCGCAGGCGGCGGAGAACAGGTCCGTGCTCCGTTGCATCTCCTCTTCCGAGGTGGTGTTGAGGGCGCAGTCGTCGGCGAAGAGGAGTTCGTGTACGGTGGTTGTGGATACGCGCGATTTGAAGTGCATCCGCCGTTGATTCAGGAGGTAACCGTCCGTCCTGTAGGCGATGCGGATTCCAGGGCGTTCGTCGCGGTAGGCGTCCATCAGCACGGCAGAGAACACGAGACTGAAGAGGGTAGGCGCCAGCACACAGCCCTGCTTCACTCCGTTGGTCACTGCGAATGCCTCTGAGACAGCTCCGTTGTGCAGCTGACGCACCATCTGAGTGAATCGCTCCGGAGAGCCGAATTTCTGCATGATCTTCCACAGTCCTTCACGATTCACCGTGTCGAAGGCTTTCATCAGGTCTACGAAGGTAGAGTACAGGTGGGTCCGCATCTCCTGACACTTCTCCTGAAGTTGACGGGCGGCGAAGATCATATCCGTGGTTCCACGATGACGACGAAGCCGCATTGGCTTTTCGGCAGAAGGCCCTGTTCCAGGTGGTTATTGAGGCGGTTGAGGAGGATTCGTGCGAAAATCTTCCCGGCGATGTTCAGCAGGAAGATGCCGCGGTGATTGTCGCAGACTTGGCGATTCCCTTTGCGCTTGTAGAGATGCACGATGGTTGCGTCTTTGAAATCTTGCGGGACTTCACCCTGACGCCACATCTCTTGGAAGAGCGCAGTCAGGTGATCCATGAGTTGGGGACCTCCGTGCTTGTAGACCTCAGCAGGGATTGCGTCCGATCCGGGTGCTTTCCCGCTGGAGAGCTGCTGCACGGCTCTGATGGTCTCCTGGAGAGATGGCGGGAGTTTGAGGTCCACGTTGGTCTCCAATTGCGGCAAACGCTCGATGGCGGCGTCGGAGATGACGGAGGGGCGGTTGAGGACGCCTCGAAAGTACTCGGCCCATCGCTGCAGGATTTGCGTCTTCTCAGTCAGGAGAGTGCTGCCGTCGGCGCTGAGGAGAGGAGCGGTGTCCTTCGTCGGCGGACCGTAGACAGCTTTGATCGCAGAGAAGAAGTTCTTCCATTCGTTGCGGTCCGCGTAGCCTTGGATCTCCTCAGCTTTGCGAGCAGTCCAGGCGTCCTGCATCTCGCGCAGTCGTTGCTGAAGTTGGCGGCGACTGCGGTAGAAGGCAGCTTTGGTGGCATCAGTGGGGTGATCTACGTAGGCTTTGTGTAGGCGGTTCTTCTCAGCTAGCAGATTTCTGATGGCGGCGTCGTTGTCGTCGAACCAGTCCTGGTGTTGGCCAGAAGCGCGACCGAGGACGGCGAGCGCCTTCGACTGGACCGTGTCTCGCAGTTGACACCAGCGGTTCTCCACAGAGGCGTTCTCGGCGGCGGCGGCGGCGGCAGCGATAGGAAGGTTGTCTAGCCGTTGAGCTAGCTCATTGCTGAAATGGAGACGGTGAGCAGGCAAAGACAACAAAGCAACATTCAGCTTACCTGGGCGTCGCTTACCTTATGGTCTCCTGCGAGGCTGTAGGCGAATACGCATCTTCGAGATGACGAGGCGACGGTCCGTCCACCCGTCAGCACCCGCGATCGCCTTCGTCACCAGCACGTCCCGCTGATCTCGCCTCCGGACGAGGACATAGTCCAGCAGGTGCCACTGACGCGACCGAGGATGCCTCCAGGTGGCCTTCTCTCGCTCCGGCAGACAGAAGAACGTGTTCGTCAGGATGAGGCGGTGTTCTGCGCAGGTGCGGAGAAGCAGCAGACCATTGTCGTTTGAGCCGCGGAGACCGTGGGGACCCAGCACTCCTCTCCAGGCAGTATGGTCTGTGCCGACGCGGGCGTTGAAGTCGCCAAGGACAATCAACTTGTCCGCCTTCGACACAGTCACCAAGAGGGCGTGCAGGTCCTCGTAGAATTTGTCTCTGACGGCGTCGGGGTTGGTCATCGTCGGAGCGTAGGCGCTGATAATGGTGGCGAATTTGCCTCCCCAGAGAGGCAGGCGGAGGCTCATCAGGCGATCGTTGATGCCCTGCGGCAAACAGGGCAGTCGTCCCACGATGTCATTCCGAATGGCGAAGGCGACGCCCGCGTTCCGTCGCTCTGCCCTGGGTCGACCGCTCCAGAAGAAGGTGTAGCCAGCACCCACCTCCTCCAGTTGGCCTTGTTCGGAGAAACGGGTCTCGCTGAGTGCGCGCCAGTTCTCGCGCCACTAGCGCCGTCCTCCGCTCCGGTCGGTTGCTCCTCGTATTGTCTAAAAGGGAACGAACATTCCAGGCTGCCAGAGTGAGCGCGCTCACCCTACCAGTCTGGTGACAACGAGTGGGGCGACGGGAAGGAGATGGAGGAGAAGATGACGAAGGAGAAGAATAGGCAGAAGAATAGACGGAGGTAGAGGAAGAAGAGGTAGGATGAGGAAAATGGGTATCGTTGTTGTTGTTGTTATTGGTATTGTTGTTGTTTCGATTTTGATTGTTTCGACCATGTTTAGACGTCTGCGGCCCTGGCTAGCCTGGAGACGGCGTGATACCCAGCAATGTTTAGGCCACCTTTTCTAGGCCCTTCCCCTCGTGGGGGCTGGCAGTGCCATCCCTGAATAGGGCTGCCATGTGCCGTTGTGGCACCGCCGAACTCCACTTTGGGACCACGACTTCGGGTTGTAGTGGAGAGCGACTCGAATTCTCCGTGAGCCGCGGTCTCCGTCGGCGAGGGTGGGCGCGTCAAGGCGATGTCGATATGAGATCCATCCCGTCACCGGCTGTCAAGCGACGTGCAGAGACGAACCACGTCACGACGGTGCAGACGCAAGGTTCCATCCGACCTTCCATCCAGCGGAATCCTCAAACCCTGTGCACACGGCACTGCGCACAGGGCCCCCTAACCTGGTTTAGCCCGCCGGTCGAGACGGTTACCCGGGGTGTGGCCGCTGAGCAGAGTCCAGCTACTTGGAGCCACAGGTGAGAGTTGAGTGCCAGCAAATGGACGCTAGGCGCAGTCTCACCTGCAAGCAAGTGAGCGACCACCACGACCATTACGTGAACCCACCGCTGACACCCGAAAAGGGAGCGCAAACGCAATTAATCCCAATTGAATTGACGACACACAATACAGGAGGCCACCAAAACTCACAGGCGACGGCCAGTAGGACAAGACAGCGAAAGATGAAAAAAATCGATCGTCCCACGGCCAACTAATTCGACTGTCCATTCAAAATTCTGATCGATTTTTTTCACTTGACGCTTTGATAATGGAGAGCCGACACAGATATACGAAACGCCAGTCGAACAAGTCTTTCGATCTGGTGAACAATTCATTATCCTCGGATTATCAAACAGGATCTTTTCTCTAACCTGAGCTTGCGCAGACTGTTTCAGACCACCTGCGTCTAATCCCATGTGTACTCAATTCGAGTGAAAGCGCTCTCCCAAGTGCCTCTCCAACCACACGCATACATACAACTCCAAAGCAGGACGTGGTCTGCAGGTCCTAGTGCTCCTTAGCCATCGTGACAATTTTCAGTAAACATATGGAAAAAATTTCTTGTCGGAATTCTATAAGCTGGGTACTACAGGAACGGGTATAGGCCCTCGATTTTCAGGTGTTAAATGACATCCAAAACGCATGGGCAAAGGCCAACTTACCAATTTCCAAAAATGCATCATCGAATATCTCCTCGTTAAGCCATGCCCACCTTCCGCTCTCTGAATACGGTTCGGCACATCCACGTCGTTGGACATTTGCGATACTGCATCTAACGTGTCATCGTTCTCATCGTCTCCCTGTTCTGGGTTTTATAATCTATACTTTCCAGCCACGTCAGGGATGGCGATATTATGGGTGTCTGGAAAGTGCAGAATATGTGATATAGAAAACAGAATTTTGGACGCCCTTTTATTCGTACTTGTCAGTGCAGATAAGGACTTGCTCAAGGAAAATCGGCAACATTCTCACCACTCCCCACTATTTTCCATGTGAATGAAACATCTTTCACGTTTATACTTAATGATACATCGCTGAACAAGGATCTAATGTCTGCGGATACACAAAGTAGGCAAACGTGTGGCCAAATGGGCATATTCCGAATCCCCATCATCTTGTCAGAACTCGACTGGATTAACTCCAACAACTATGAAACGTTTGTAAACTGGGATATTGATCGAGCTAGTGTGCACAGCATCTTCAGGACGGTAGAAGCCAGTCAACGCAATCTGCCAAGACGGTGCCATGACCAGGTTTGGCAGTAAACAGAGTGTTAAGGAGTTGTGATCGAGACACTCAACTGCGTCTACGTTCTTGGCCTTGGCACTCAGACAACTAAAATACACTCCAAGATTCCTTATTTCAAATTCGTATTTTGCTTAATTCAATCATTAGCCCCTGGGACCACAGTTGGGACCAAATACGTAATTCTGTAAGTTTTGTCATCCATCAACGAGTTTTATTGACACTCCACATCGCACTGTACTTCATTCGTAATTTAACTTTAAGCATAATGACTGTTTATTTCTACTAAGCACCTTCAAATGGACTGTTTTACATGTTTCCCAATTTCGGTGTGATCTTTCAGCAAATAAGATGGCGTTTTATGCATTACCTCCAACGAATACTTCAGCGAGGAATGGTACTGCCAGAGTCGATGTCGACCAGCTGTCAACAGTATCTGGCACTGGAAGTGTAGTCTCCGATGGGTTTACACTGGCCGAGCCGATTGAGGAGACTCTTGAGGTCTCTAGTGCATCATCTTGGTCAGATTCCGGAGAACTGAAAAAGCATCATAGTTGAAACATTCGCCAAAACTGAAATTACCGGAAGTAAAGCCTCAATGGCGGAGACTGGGACGTCCCCAGCCGTGCTTTCAATGCGCGCATACAAGCATCTCCTAATCAGGACATGGACTGCAGGTGCTGGTGCTCCATAGCCAACGTGACAAGTTTTAGTAAACATATGGAAAAAATTTCTTATTGGAATTCTATAAGCTGGATACTACAGGAAGGGGTATAGGCCCTCGATTTTCAGGTGTTAAATGACATCCAAAACGCATGGACAAAGGCCAACTTACCAATTTCCGAAAATTCATCATCGAATATCTCCTCGATGAGCCATGCCCACCTTCCACTCTCTGAATACGTTTCGGCATTCATGTCTTTGGACAGTTGAGATACTGCATCTAACGTGTCATCGTTCTCATCGACTCCCTGTTCTGGCTTTGATACTTTATACGTTCCAGCCACGTCAGAGATGGCGATATTATGGATATCTGGAAAGTGCGGAATATGTGATACAGATAAAAGAAATTTGGACGTCCGTCTATACGCAATTATCAGGGCAGATAATGACATACTTGCTCAAGGATAGAGGATAGAGGCGCCATGAATCGACTATTCTTTTGTTGCCCTGCCAATTCGTCCACAGGCGAGGAAAAATGGGATTGACGACACAGGAACCTTCTAAAAGAATTCTGTCTGAGAATCGCTTACGGAAGGGGAGTTATAAGGGCGACACACTAAGCAAAGGAAATGTGTCAATGGTAGCTAAATCTACCGTACCCCTGCGAAGGTGTAAATGATATCTACGAACCCGGGAGCTCTCAACGGATGCCATTAATTCGACCGTCGTTACCGACGATGTCCACCGTGTACCCCACAATAAAATGGAGCCATCTAACTTCGTTCATTTCTACTAAGCACGTTCAAATGGACTGTTTTACATGTTTCCCCAAACCAGTGTGATTTCTCAGCAACTTAAATGGAATTTTATGCATTGCCTCCGTGGACTACTTCAGTGGTGAATGGACTTGCCAGAGACGATGTCGACCAGGTGTCAACAGTATCTGGCACTGGGGGTGTAGTCTCCGATGTGTTTACATTGGCCGAGTCGGTTGAGGAGACTCTTGAGGTCTCCAGTGTCTCATCTTGGTCAGATTCAAGAGAACTGAAAAAGCATCATAGTTGAAACATTCGCCAAAATTGGAATAACCGGAAGTGGAGCCTCAATGGCGGAGATTAAGAAGTCCCCAGCCGTGCTTTCAATGCGCGTTTCATTCTGGGCTTTGCGGCATCCACAGGATAAACGCATATTCTTGAGTCTGTGCATGCATGAAAGGGTAAAACAATGAAAGGTTCCGTAGCTGCTGCAAAGCGTTTCCAATCTGGCAGTCTGATGATCCTTGTCTACCGTTTCTCCGAAAAACACACGCAGTCCGTCCACCGGCATCTGAAAGATACTGTCCCCTCAAGAAGCATGCAACCGGAAATAAACCGCAATGGCTGACATCATCGGTTAAGAAGGAAATCCGGAAAAACGCAAGCTGTGGAAAATCCCTTACAAACGGAGTGCCTAGAAAAACTTCAGGAATTAAGACAACAACGAACATTATGCAAAAGACTTACCCGAGAGGTACGAGCTTCTTATGCACTGAAGCTCCTGGAAGAGGCGTTCTATGTATATAACAGGAGAAATACGAAAAACCGTGACCAGGTTGCAACCTTATAGGACAGAAATAACCGAGTTGTGAGCGATGGCTTTCAAAAAGCCGTGCTTCTTTCCGAGTTTTTCCAAGATGTCTACACCACGGAACCACTTCTCCAGCTCCTCAGCTTGGGGACTAAGGCGTCCCCAACCATGCTTTCAATGCACGTTTTATCCTGGGTTTTCTGGCATCTACAGGAAAGACGCATACTGGCTGCTGCAAAGCTGTGCCACTCTGGCTGTCTGATGATCTTTGTCCATCGTTGTTCCGAAAAATTCACATTGTCCGTCTACCGGCGTCCTCTGAGTCATAACCACATAACTGTTCGCCGTTAAGTAATGTGGGAAATGTAAAAAACTGGTTTCCTCTAGAAGGAGCAAGGATAGGATGAAATTTCGATTTAAACCCCTACCCTATTCATTATATACGTCAACGACTGCGTCAGTAAACTGAATTGTGATGTCGCCATGTTCGCTGAAGATATTAAACTTTGGAGCGTCATCCGAACTGAATTGGACGAAGAGCGCTTGCAGGCAGACCTGACCCGACTCGAGAAATGGTCACAGGACTGGCTTTTGCCATTTAATTAGACTAAGTGCAATGTTGTGCGAGTTGACAGGACCCGATCTCTCAGCCGTAGGGTTTACTACCTAAATTGCATACCATTGCAGGAGGTAGACGCCCAGAAAGACTAGGGTGTGTGGGTAACGTCTTCTCTAAAACCGTCGCTCTACTGCTCCAAGGTAGCCAAGTCCGCGATGTCAGTCCTTTATCTTGTCAAGAGAGCTTTATCTACCTTCGATGAGGACTGCTTCGTTAAAGTCTTTCAGACTTTCGTACGGCCACAGCTAGAGTTCGCTGTTCAGGCGTGGAAACCCTGGACCTCTAAAGATGTCAGCATCCTTGAGAAAGCCCAAAGGCGGGCAACCAAAGTCGTAAGTGGACAGGGCTAACTACCCTATGAAACACGACTGTCCAATCTCGGTCTTTTTCCACTGACTTACAGACAGCTAAGAGGCGACCTTATACAAACATTTCGTTTAATGCTCGGCCAGGACTGCTGTCTCGTACCTGCTGATTTCTTTGAATTAGCGACCACAACGAACCTCCGAGGTCATCCATTTAAACTACGTGTGACTGGCGCCAAGCTGGACATTCGGAAGTTCTTCTTTTCAAACAGAGTGATCGAGACTTGGAATGCTCTACCTGCAGATTTCGACATGTCCACCTCCGTTGACGCTTTTAAGCGCAAGTTGGACAAGTGGACTACCAAACGTCATAATGCCGCCTGACCGACATCGTCTAGCATTTCGTTCGATCAGTTTATTAATATTGTCATGTTACTGCATGTATTTCAGTAACGCTTATTTTATATCCTTGTCCCATGCCTGTTGAATGCATGTTGGCATTTAATTCGTCTCCCTCAGAAACTGAGGTAGCATCAACTATCCGTAGACAGACTACTGTACAGCACATTTAGTAACGTTAATGTTTTTAACTCTTGGAACAATTCGTTTATCCGTCTGGTTTCGAAAACCTAGCCAATCTAAGAAACTATGCAGCTGTTTGATGTTTCCACTTTCAAATTTTTGATATAGTTCGCTTCCTTGCAACAAATAGGGAGTTCAAAGGTTCAATACCTATATTTCCCTCTAATAAAACTGAACTAAACTTAATTGAATTTTAGTATGTTTTTGGAGACAAATCTTTCACCATTTTCGAAATCTGCTGATGCGCTGAGAAGACGAGATTCTCTGAGATAATAATGAGAAGAGGGTAGTGTACACGTTTCCATCGGTTTGGCTTTTAAAGGCAGAAACGAGGTTTAGTTCACTGGTAAGCCAAGCAAGCTGGGAGAATGTGCTCAGTGAATACCCTGGATACCCTCAATACTCAGTGCTGAAACTTCGCCAGGGCGGGGTACTTAGCTACTCGGGAAGCGCACAGTTGAACACTGTTCCCAACACCACGGTTGGTGGATCAGATGGTTGAGTAATCGGCACACCAACATCCAACAGCCGTGTTGAAATCGCAGCAATTACTGACGCGAATGTGAGCCATCAAACAGTCATTACACCAAATGCGACGCTTCCTGATTGGGGGGGGGGGGGAGGAAACCGTGAATATTCATAGGTATGCGGTAGCATGGCGACTGCATCCTATAAATACTGCAGCCCATTGTGCATGAACCACCCATATCTGCTACTGTCTCTGTATTTAATTAAATTGGCAGTTCTAGCCTCGGTTTCGGCGATGTCCACCACGTGTCCCACAGCAGGATGGGGGCCGGCGCGGTCACTTGTACGTGAATTAGTTCATTATGATGGCGAACTTGTGTAGTATCTGCCGCACGATTTCTCTACCCCCTCCCCTCCCCCCACCTGGTCTCGGTGTCAGAACAAGGCACAAAATACCGGAGTCAGAAGGGGCCGTAGGTGACTGGCAGACAGAAACCTGCACCAAAGCATGCCACTGCACCCTCAAGTTCACAGCTAATAATGACCAGGCCCTTATTCAACCAGCAAAGAATAGTAGGCGATTCAGATTCCAATTGGTGTGGCCCGCACCTATCACACGCCGTTCCATGCATCCCTACGTATGCACCCGAAATACCCCGCAGTGGTTGATGTCTTCCTCAGAATGTTTGACATTCGACAAGAAGCCAGAATTCTGATAGAGAGCACCCAACTTTTCAGAATCTGCTTGACTGCCGAGAAACGGACTCCATTTAGACAATTAAGACTATCTTGACGGAAGTCAGAGTCTGTGGTAGAAACTTACACACAGTAAATTTGTCTGATGGCAATAGAAATGATGTTGTTCACCTGTTCAATGATCTTCACAGGTACAATCTCTGTCATTATCCATAAACTGAGCTGTCTCAAAAACTGGATCTTCTTCTACGGTTATGGCAAAACTACGGTAGAATGAATCTGCAAAAGAAGCGAAGAACATTAATGCATTTTTAATCAAGTTTGAGAATGTAAGGGATCATTGTATAAATAATCGTGTTTTACACTTGGCTTCTGGATAATTAGGAATAAGTCGCTGTCCAACGATTTATCTGCAACGATAAGTTGAACTATTTCCAAAATACCGTCATCGCCTACGGACATAGGGTGACTACAATAAAATGGACCTGCAAAGAAGAGTGGCGATTGTGAGCGAATGCGCAATATCGATTGGAAGACAATGCTGTACAATCAATCTTTCTGGACTTTTCCGAAATAAATAAATTGGTAAAGTTACCGGTTGTTTGGTCTCCATTTGCGGAAATATAGATCCGTATCCTGTCCTCGCTTTAGTACTATTTGGGTGTACAGAAACCATAGGCGCCGTAGTAGAGCGTAATCCCGTTTTGATCATGCCTCATCTAGATGCCTTTAATGGTCATCCCGAAAGTACCTCTCCAGGATCGACAATCAGGCGCTGAGTGTATGAGGACCGAACATCGAAGGTCTACGACTTGACGAAGCGCTCGGTCGGGATTTGTGCTGACTCCTGTACTTCAGTGCCATGTAGACATCATCTTCGTAGCCATGAGACAGGCAATGGAGAAGGTACCCGAACCAACCGAGTCAGATCTATTGCATCGCCACAAACACATTGTTGCGGTTTTGTTGATGCCAGTGCAGATCGCCTTCAATCAAGGCGAAATCTTCGACCTACCCCGAATAACAGAGACAGCAGTGAGTTAAAGCCTCCAGCGTTCGCTTGTCTCCGGCCTCGTTTGCTTGTTTAGAATCAATGACTAGACGGTATACAAGTGATGATCCGCAGATCCTCCCTGCCATTGTCTTTCCATGAGCAATACTCGATGGTACAGGTGTGAAGGGAATCAATAAGGGAAATAAACTAGATCGAAATCGTTATCCCTGATTCGTTAGTATCCTACCGCTGTTCGGCGATCTATAGACTTCAAGCGAACTTACAGATTCATGGATGCTGACTGATGCTTTACTGGTTATCAGTCCAGCGTGTCAACTCAATTAACATTAAGGACAGGAAGGACGAGAGAGGAAGTGAAAAAAGGGAAATGGATCAAAGAGGATCATCGATAACGCTTAGACATTTATCTCTACATCTCCGAGGAGGCAGCCAACTTAGTCTGCTCAATGCCTGCGCTTGCGGACAAAGAAACTATGTCGTAAAAACTGGACGACTGTTCCAAGCGCGAGCGAATGGCCGAACACGCGACAGTGGTGCAGAGAAATGACACCAGCCATCAAGATACGGCTCATTCCACGAGATCTGACCCCACATTCAGATTGTATTTGGCATTACAAGAGTGCCACGAACGGGTCTGCTTCGACCCTACAACCTGCAGGTATTATGGTCTAGCCAACGTTGAATGTCCTTAGTTTGAATTGGCCACTTTATAGGTTATATCGACGCAAAGGGTTTTTCCTATGAAACTTCAATCCTCATGACTGGCAATATCCAGCAGCAGAGTGGAATGAGGGACGGTGACTTGCACAGCCCCTACCGCAATTTCTCCTCCCCCACCTGAGACCGATGTCAAGACGAAGTCAAGAAGACCGGTGGCGAGAGAGAACGCAAGTGGCTAGCACAGCATAAATTCGAGCCTAGGCATACCACCAGCACGCTCTCTGGTTCACGAAGTACGCTGACCAGGACTTTACACAACAAGAGGAAAGACGGACGACTGAGATCCCACGTAGCCGAAGTGCTATGGAGGTCACAATAAGAAGCAACCATTGCAGCCTAACACTCAGACCATTAGTCGGCCGATCCACACAAACACACAATACTGGGCCGATTGCGAGGTCCGATTTATCCCGTCAATTGGTAACCTTCCAAACCACAGCTTTTAGTGCACCGATGCAGCTCCAAACGCATTCGGCTGATCATAGTGAGGAATATGTACCGAGACGGAATGGGCTTCACCGTGTTCACTGCCTTCTCGCTACATTTTATAAAAAAAAGACTACTATATCGTTGTCAGTAAAGAGGGAAGGAGAGTGACCGGATGGCAAAAGCGTTCCTCGGGCGAAGTCCGCAATTGACGTGGTCAGTTCCATGACCAGGACGAGTTGGCAGGACATGCTTTCGTTTCCAAAACTTTTATACAACTGAGGCTTCACTGCAAGCCTGTAAATATTGTCCGTCTTCTAAAATTTGAGCTTTTTTCGCTTCCTCTTTGCCAAATCAGGTTTTCGGCGGGTAGATCCCGCATGCTCGGAGAGAAGGAAGTGCCTAGAAAATAAGGACGTACCATAATTGAAGAAAGGAGACTAGCCCTCAGACGTTTCAGATTCTTGCTCCCATCCGTCATCATTCTCCAACTACAGCCGCTTAGCTTTGGTCAGGATGTTTGATTTTCAATAGAAATCTATTTTGGGTTGCAACTATAGGGGGGCAGTCTGACAAAAGCGAGGTCATAAAAAGTTCATGAATCAGAGTGTGTGCGTGACAACAGAAATCAATCACATGTGAACCAAAACTGTTCTAATCTGCCTGAACGACGTATGTCGAGGAAGGTTGATGCTACCGATTTCAGTCAAATCCAAGAGTGTGGTAGAAAGGAATTCAGCATGCGGAAATTCCACTTAGGCCTGGGGCACCTTAACCGGCATTGTTTCAGACGACCTTAGAAGAGAAGGCATGGGATCGGGTCGGTTTCCATTTTAGAGTGCCCTCGGGCTGATGGGATTTCGCATGCCTAAGTTGGCCTTAAGCTTCAATACATATTTCGTCCGAAAGCGCTTACAACAGTCTCGATGGATTTTACGCGCCCTAGAAAGAACGATGCGGTCATAGCGTTCTCCACTCTACGGGAATCGAGGATGTGAGACTAACTTTAACCATAAGCAATAAGTTCGTCCCATCTAATGACAGAAGTCAAGGAGCTGCGAGAACTGGTTTATTCTACACATAGGGCAGTTTGTCACGAGTTATCTGCTGGCCTGTGTCTCAAAGCAGACGTCCGTTAGCGGGAAAGCGTACGTCGTGATGTGTTGTTTGCGCAGGTTCCACATGTCTGTGCCATCATGGGAGTATGTGTAGCTGAATGTCGGAAATGTGATTGGCTGTTTTGAGGGCAGAATTGGAGGGCGCTTGATCACAAGGGCAAACGGGAAATAAACCGCGGCGTCCGACGCGCGTGAGACAGTGAAAGATTGTCTGCTCAGGCCTGAAGGATGGCCGAACGCTAACGGTGCGTCTGTAAGTCACCGCTGGACTATGTCCTCGTTCGGCGGCGAGATCGATAGAACGTGATGAAGACCAAGGCGATCTGCGACGTTTATGGCTAGACGGATCATCGCCTCGCCATCTGCAAGATGACCGCAAACTTGTAGTAGGCCATAAGGTAAGCGACCATCAGGTAAGCTGAATACTGCATTGTTATCTTTGCCTGCTCACCGTTTGCATTTCAACAATCAACTGACCCAGCGGCTGGAAGACCTGCCAGTTCCAGATAAAACCGCCCCCATGGAGAGAGTCGATGGTGCCGACTACGGAGACCACCCTGGCTGTCCTCGACCGCGCACGTCGTCAGCACCAAAACCAGTTTGACGAAAATAACGCCGTCATTGGTAATCTGCTGGCCGAGAAGTACAGGCTGCAGGGAGCCTACCTCGACCGCCCAACGGACGAGAACAAACACGCCTTCTACAAATGCCGTCGCCTATTACAGCAACGATTGCGAAAAATGCAGGATTCCTGGATGGCTCATAAGGCCGAGGAGATCCAGACATACGCCGACCGCAACGACTGACAGAATGTCTTCTCTGTATTCAGGGCAAACTACGGCCCCCGACCGGAAGATCTGCATCCGTTCTCAGCTCTTATGAATCGACCCTTTTGACGGAGTCGGTGGTGCGGCGGTCGATGTGAGACGCAAGCACAAGAGTTCTCAGTGGATCAACGAAACGAAGTCCCTATAATCACAAATCAGAAACGAACATATCAGCTCGGATGGTCAGGAAGCCGCGCAAGGATGGGATGCAAGCTGTCTTCTTAGGCAATTGTCTGCGGAAGTGCATCGCCTCGAGACTTCCTCCGGCTGATGAGACCAACTAGTGAAGTGAGGAATATAGATTTCAGGCATTGGCGCAATACTGCAGCCCCTTGTGCATGAAGCGCCCATATCTGCTTTTGTATCCGATGATGGGTTCGAGCAGGAATTCGAAACGTCAGGCTAATCAAGCTCTTGTCCCAGCGATCGTGTCTTCTTCAAGACCACTGCCTGGGACTCATCTCTTCGCTTCTATTACCCGATGTTGCCACAGACGCATGAACCCAATTTGACAGACAAAGGTGACACGAGTCAGCAGTGACGGTGGCGATCGCTTGAGCAGACTGCAACACGGCCGACTCCTCACCAGATGGCATGACGGGCACCTATCCCATTGGAGTTTCTATCGCTTCGACCGCTCATCGACAAGGCGGGTACATGAACTTTACAGACACCAGAGGACCGAACTTGCCACCTGTTTGTTGAAATACAGAAACACCTAACCATATATATATTGCAGCTGGCGTGGCTTGATTGGCCGCCCCAGGGGCAACTTCACCAGTGTGTCCCTCTGACGCGATCGGTGATTGCACGACAATCAAAGATGCATAATTCCTTCCAGAATCCCGAGTTTTTCTCGTCGTAGTGTAAAAGTATTAAATGTCCGTCTTCCGGTAGGATTTTTGCGCCTGTTTCGAAATGATTACTCACCTGAGATTTTAGTATATTTAGATTCCCACTGATATCTACCGGTCCATTGTCTATGTGTCAATTATACCACTTCTGCAACGACTTTATATTCAACTGGTATATGCCTGCACATATGGATATCAACAACAGTTAACTGTTTGGCCAGCATTTGATTGTCTATGCGGTTTGGCATTCCGTACGATCTGCCTCTGACATCATGAGAGCACTCACTGAAGAACAGTCAGGTTCATACTCTCCTGTAGGCAAATGGAATTTGAGTGCCGGTCAGAGACGTCAGATGGGTAAAATTATTGTTCAATCGGCAATCTCCTGTAGCTCACATTTTCTGCATGTATCGACAATATCTACTAATACGTATATCCGTCGCAATGTCTACGAGACGCAATCGTTATACAGTACAGTCGTGCACGTCTATTTATTAATATTAGTTTGCTAGTCGGAGCGGGATTTCCTTTGTGCTCCTGCCATTTCACGGGCCTTTTCCATGAAACCCGCACCACCTTTACCCCTTCCGTCATAGTCGGGCCAAATGGGAAAGGTAGAATTGGAGGGCATCGGCGGCTTTTCGGCATAGGAGCGATTTGCATACGATAATGAACTCGTACTATTTATTGCGAAGCGATATCTGACTTTAATGCTAACATATTTCAAACACTTAACGTGAGTAAACGCATTTAGATGAAAAAGTGATTCCTTTGGTAAAAACTTGGTGATTGGTAGTTTAATTGAACAGACATACCGCTAACCACCTATTTCGTGCACTGCTTTAAAAACGCCAGCGTAGTCACCACCATAAGAAGTAAATATAAATCATTACGAGACAGACGGCGTAGGGGAAATATACTTACGGAATTAGTGATTGCAACTGGCTGGGCGGGAGTAGCTAGAAGACTCACACAGTGGATTCGCGCCTATTTATCACATCACGATGGTGAATATGTATGTGTGCGACAAATTACCTACGAGAGAATGCGACTGGGATGTTCATGTCTAGCTTATTGGCCGCTGCGTTTGGCGCTCAATCTAGAACTCTCGCAGGCAGTAGCCTCACGGCCAATGTTGACCTAGGAGGTCACCTGACACGGGTGACATTACCCCCACGACTGCTCAATAAAATTAGAATTATTACATCCTGCGCGACACACACATGACTTGCCGTACTCTTAATTGAGAGCTTATTTCATTGCTTCAACGACACAAAATGGGACAACTACGCAGGTTACAATCACAGGTGGCATAAACTTTAAACTTTCTTGCATTTATATCACAATCCCGCACAGACCCTTTATATTTCTAATTAAAGCCTGCATTAGAACAGACAGGAGATAAGTTATGCTGCTGAAATATGTTTGTAGGGAAGGTTTCAAACATCGATTTGAATAATCCACTTTAAGTTCGGATTCAGTTGAGTTTAATCATGTGAATCGTAGGGCACACCAAATGAACATCGCTTGAGTCACAGTCCGAAACCTTTCCCAAAATCCGTCAAAACACCAACTCGTTGTTACTAAGCCAGGGTTAACCCTGTAAATTCCATGAGCATTCTTCTGAATTTTCGCGTGCATCTGAGTACATGGTCGCGCTACTGCCGTCTACTAACCACGCCCGGGCGTCCGTGAGTTTAGCAGGATTACATTTATGGATTACATTCGTCCAAAATGGTGGCTAAGTGTTGCTTTAACATCCGGAGGTAAAGATGTGCTCTTGCTTCCCACCCTCGCACTTCATTTTGCGTTTATAAACGGTCAGCGTGCTACGCCCACACTCTTCGAACGAGAGCTCAATGTGCTATGCTACTGACTCTGGCTGAATTAATCATACACAATTTATTTTCTGCCTCTCTCGGAAAGATCTCCCCACATTTTCCTCATGCAATAATTCAAACGACCAAATTCAGGTAATGAATGGAGAAAACCTTCAAAAAGTTCGTTTTCCCCTTCAGTAACTCTCATCCCGGCTAACTGATATGTGAATTTACACCCGAAGATCGGTTAGTCGTAGTAAAAGGGAATGCGCGATTTTCTGAAAAGTAAAGCACTCCGTAAAACTTTATTTTTTCTCCTGATTCACCTACAAGAATTGGGTTTACATGGCGTTTTGAGTAATTGGTTAGCATGGGATCCCATGAACTTTGAAGGAGTCTCATCAAAGCCACCCTTCATTCCTGCTTCCATACCAGGACTTCGTAGTCCTTAACCGAATGTTCACGGCCCCAGTATGACAAATAGGCACAGGAGTGGCCGGTATGTACCTGAAAGACGGAATTTAAGAATAAAGAGTTTGGTTTGTACGATATCGAAACAGGCCGCATCTCGCAGTGGATAGGAGCCACAAGGCGTGGTCGGTGACCGGCCTCTTAAAATTTTAACCAAAATTCCAAAATGCGCTTTTGCTCAAAAGGGTTATTTACGTGGGTTACTCGGTTTGGATTTTCAAACAAATAACAATCACAATGGCTATCAAAACAGCCCCTATGTGACAATGATTAAACGCACGTTGTCGGCAAATTGCACTTAATGACCGATCTTATGAAAGGTTAGGCGATATTCTGAAGTGCGCTTCCAATTAGAAAGGGTTACCCAAATAATGTTGTACCGTTGGGAATCTAGCTGCATAATCCTAAGATTACATTTGAATGCACTTCTTTCCGACTGTCTACAGACACTGCCCTCGTGAATAATGACTGCATAAATGGCATGGATTTTATTTTATTTATTTTCAGAATTCTTATAAATTCAAGTGTATTTTCCAAAATATTTTTTCAATAATATCTCTTCACGTACTCATTTAGTAGAGGTTTAGGTATTCCGAGAACTGTACACTCCGATAAAATGTATCTGTCAGTCTTAAAAAGCTTTCTCATTATGAAGTTATTGAAAGACCGTACAATGTTCATTCGAACAGCCACATACCTGTAAAGTATTTCGGGATTATGCCACATGCTGATCAATATTTTATAACCACGTAATTTGTCCCTCATATTCAACAACGGAATCCAGAAGTTTACGTAATTGGTCAATTAGTGTATTTGTCGTCGATATGCGCAAGGAGACCATGACGAGCAATCGGGTTTTCTTTGTGATGCAAGTGAAGTGGATTTCCCTAAGTCATCAGCCTATATCTGCAGTGCGCTAACCGAATTTGCATCTACCTCCATTTACGTCCGACCACCAATCGACGTCCACGCCCACGACTGCTGCTCTTATTAAAAGCCTAGGTATGCGGTGAAGACAGTAGGAAGGAACTGGCTAGGCTAATTGGTGTCGTTCATGTCTATCAGTAAGGCTTTCCGACACTCTGCATGCTGTTGTCTAGCAGCCACTTGTGCGACTTTTATACGCGAAAACCCATGGCCAGCAGTTAACTTCCTCGGAAAGGGTGTCATCGCTGTCGCAAAATGCAGTGTCAGCTCTAAGAGTTGCCGAAGTATCCTTCTCACGAACAAATACGACCTGCTAGTCACCAGTTACCAATGGTTCTAGTTAAATTAACCATAATGACGCTCTACCTTCAGCCGCTTTCTTTACGAGAACAGGCAGATTTCGAAGAAGCATGTATGAGAGGCCTTCAAATCGAAGATCTCAGCGTTTTCGGCCGCAACTGCAGCTACTTTATTTAGATCTCCTCATCGTCCAACCGAAGGACTCCAAGTTTAACTGCAGAAATTAGGAGTATTCATATGTCAGACAGTAAAGACATTACAAGGATGAGGACTGTTAAGATGGAAAGGATTAGACTGGGGGCTTTGTTCTGAGTAGGCAAGAGTGGACAGGAATAAAAAAAAAATAAATCCACTTACCTTGCCTGAAGGAATCTCATCCTTAACACGGGCTTTGGCGATGTACAGCGGTTGTCTATCCGACGCGATTCCCGCAACAATCGCTCCCTTCGGAACCTCACCACCACTTGCCGGTACCCATTCGTAACTGGTTGATCAAATAGAAATACCGCACTACTTATTACAAATAATTCGACATTACTGCCACAACAAGGAGATATTGCAGCCTTACTCTTAGACTACTCCACACAAAACACGCATCGTTTCACGTTTCGCCCTTTAGTTGGCCACGTTAATGTCCTCCTTCCTCATCTACCCCCAGGCGGCAGGCGTGATAATTTTATAATTTATTCTTGATTGGGGTGTAGACTGAACCAGCTGACGTTGATCTGACCAATTAGGTGCTACCAAAGGACATTCTTGCTTCTGACTCATAAACACAAGTCTGCATCCCTCCTCATCTTTCCATAAAAATATGGTATGCTAGAAATGCTTGAATATGTGACAGTCTACCTCCGTATTTACCTATCAGCTAGAGTTCAATTAAATCACCATGTAAATCGGAAGTCACAACCACTTATTACTCGAATCCGGTCCCATGAGAGCGTGACGGTGACAGATGATTGACTCTGCTTAGCGAGGACACAGGTGGCTGGCACGGTCTAAACCCGCACCTAAGCGTACCATCACACGCCCTGCTCCACAGCAAAACAATCGATTGGAATTTTATACAACAAATACAACAACTGGCCGGAGGCGGCTCGAATGCCATTAGGTGGGAGTGCCATAGAGGCCACATCAAGAAGGAGTCAGGGCAGCCTGAATCTCAGTCCACCAGTCCGTCACTCCAAACAAAACACAGGAGACCGTCTAGCCGAATCTGAGCCGGCGTTCATTTCTCTATCCACTAGAACATAAATGGCTGTTCGGTAGTTCTGCTTACCAGCAAGGTTGGCCGAGACAACGAGTGTCACAGAGTACTTCGCAGTCCCCCAGCGTACGGTACGAAGGCGGTGTAGAGTGGTGGAATGTACTTTCCGGGGATTTTTTCACCCTCATGCCAGGCGCGACAGACGTAGACGTCGTGCTGTGTCGCAATGGCACCGTCTGGAATGTTGCCGAGTTCTGTCTTCACCCAGGACAGGCCAATCTGTATACCTTTGCCTACTTTGGCCATGATCGAACCTGCTATATCGTGGAAGATGGAAATATGCAGGAGGCTATCTCATAATCGCAAATGTAGCATAATGCAAATGTATTAGATTTGTTAGGCAGCATTTTAAGAAACATTATACATCATGTTGATACCTATGAAAGCACACATGCCGCACGCATCCAGTGAGCATAAATGACAATGGCCATGCCACTGTTTCGAAAACCATACCTGCACTGCTCCGCATTCCAACTACGTAAGCGGCGTAACGATAAATACCGATCCCATTAAAGCGAAAAATTAAACTGGCCAACAGTCAAGTTCTGACCGAGTAACTGTGTGACGTACTACGTTGAATTTCAAAGAAGGCAAGTGCTAGAATATCCTGTAGGGTTTCTGACAAGTCGTTCTCCATATAACAAATCCTCCTAAAGAAACTAATAGAAGTCATATTATAACCTCTCACTCTATCCTTCCTTAGCACTCTTCCGAGACAAATGAAACTATCAGTCGTCATAAGTGAGACCGTTAAACACTAACCAAATAAGAGTACACGTCTGCGCAGATAAAAGTAAAAGCATTCTGCAATCTAAGCGCATAGTCAAATGAGGAAATAAGTAGCCGGGGCGCTTTCGCTTCGAAGGGAAATGAGTGGAGGAAAGTCAACTCACGAGTGTCAAAAGCACCGCAGTTAGAGCTGCGACATCCATCAAGGCTATTTATTTGGTCCCAACGTAGAACATCTGACGATGCCTATTGGAAGGCCTACCTAGCGCTGATTGTCAGCCGACCAATCAGAATCGGGCAAAATGTCACCGCGTGGCGCAATCGCGAGCGTGCGCGTGAACTAAGCAGGTGCACGATGCTTCCACAATAAAGACCAGATGCCTTGTCTGCGTCCATAGTTGGTAGGGTATTCCACCCCGTGCCTCTACACATCTGGCGATTAACAAAAATTGGTAAAGCAACTCGGGTTTCTTGACGTCGGTTATTTAATGATTACTGAATTTGTAGGCTGCAAACTGGTCACGTGCTGACGAAACCTCCCTGATATCGGCGGTCGGCGTTAACGATTTACCCGTGGTTAGAAACGAGTTCTCGCTAAAGTTTTAGAGGTGAAATACGCGAAGTGATCAAACCTCACATTTATCATTAGGAGTAGTAGCAGCAGTATCAACAAGAACATCAACAACATCGGCAGGATTATTTACCTCCTGAGCGGAGTATATGCGTGAAACGTTAAAGTTTGGACATCGTTGCGTTGCGTCATAAATTCAAGCGCCTCTGATTTATTATAATGAGGAATGTGCAGATGAACGCTGATGGGGATGGAAACCCACAGCGTCGGCAGCACCAATCGACTGTCAGAGCCTATCAGCCATCTGGAGCTAAGAGTGTATGCAGTGCAGTGTAGGTATGCAGATCAATCTGCAGACCTATGCATACTTTGGCCAGGATGAATCCTGAAAGGGGGATAAGTAGGATGAAATGAGCACATACTGCAATGTGAGCAGTCGGTAGATGAAGAGAACAAAAGGTTAGATCGCAGTTGGTAGCCAGGAATGGGGAGGCGGACAGTCAGGTCCCTGTCGTACGGGAATGGTGGGAAAGGGGGTTATACGGGTAGGGTAAATGGAAGGGCTGGTAGAGGAATGCTGAAGATTCTGGGTAAAAATACAGTTACCGGGGCAAGTGCTGGGAAGCTTTAAGTAGGTGGAATAATGACAGAAATTTAAACCCTACGCTTAACCCTAAAATACAACCATGACCGCGACCGTAAAGGCTGACACTAAGCCTCAAAACCGAAACGTAACCAAAATCCTAAAACCAAATTCTAACCCAAAACCTTGTCTAACCCTAACCCTAACCTTGACCCTTACCCTAATCCTGACCCTAAGCCTAATCTTAACCCTAACCTTAAGCCTTAGCCTAACCCTAAACTTAACCGTAACCCTAACTGGAACCTAAAACCTAACACTGAAACCAGACCCTAAGACGCCAACCCTAATCATAAAACTTAACTTACACCTAACCCTCACCCTCACTAAACCCAACAGCCTGACCTAAACGAGCGACCTGCCTAACTCAGTAAGAGCACACCTACTGATAACAAGTTCCCTCGACAAGGTAAGCTTACCTACTGGTAACAAGTACGTACGTCGACAGTACCAATGTATAATGTCTGGCTACCAACTGCGATCTTACCGAACAAAAGCGAAAGTCAACTCACGAACTCCGGAAGACAAGCGCCAACACCAGTACGGTTGAGATCGCCACATCATCCAATGCTGCTTATAGGGCTCCACCGAACAACAGATTGTTTTGTCCCTCCGAGTTGCTAGTCAGATTCCGGTAGGTTGTCATCGCATGGCGAAATCGCGCTTGCACAATCGTGCGCGGGCATTAAACAGGTGAAGCAAGGTTGCCGCAACCAAAAGAGTGTGCGGATCACTGAGCCGCCTTTCACTGCAAGGCTGGCAAAACACGACTGACTCCTAGCTCCTCCATGGTGACTCTGCAGACTGCATGCACTGCATGGCGAAATATTCCGGCCTCTGCCCCCACACGGCTGACGGTTAACGGGAGGGGTGCTGAATGAGTTGTTTTTCGTTTAAGTTGGGCAATTGCCAACGTGTTCTTGCCTCTCACGCGTAGGAAGGCTCCTGTGAAAATAGACTTAGTCAAGAAAAATTCGAAGACTTGTTGCCTAACTAGGCAGCAACCTATACAGTGTCAGTCCGAGCAAGAGGAAGACATTTTGTCTAATGAGGCCTTGACATACGGACACGCGGCTTGAACAAGTCGCGCAAAATGTAATACTAGTCGTGGTCCACTTCGCAATCCACTTTGATTGACTGGGCGATTTAGCATCGTTGTTGGTCAACTTAACGATGTGTTTAAGACTATCGCGAATTCCCCTATCCTCATTGGAACGCTTGACGTGGACGGACTACTAACGGGGGACACACTGTTAGTGGGGAACCAATCAATTTCTTGCAACGATTGAATGCAGATCCTCTAATTTAGAACCGGATTTCCTTGCTATTTGGGGGGTGGGGGTGGTCTCAAGTTAGATCGCAGGAGGATTAGGTCAAGGATCAAGGTTAAAGTTGAAGGCGAATTCTAATCTTAGGATTTGGACACGGAAATCGGTAACCTTCCAGGAATCTAGCCTAATGACATTTGCATTACCAGAGAGACTCATTTTAGCATGTCTCACCAACCGCTACCACCACTGTTCCCCTTCTGCCTCGACCTTCCAAACACCTACCTTGGACCACTGCAACCGCTTTTCATGATCCATGCGCTCGACCTTCAAGATCATTTGACCTGCTAGGAAGTTTCTATGGACACCATAACTGTATCACACCCCCAACCAATCACAGGTATCCGATGGCATGGCGGTCTGCACTACTTCCCACGCCTGAGCTTGCGGCTCACATCGGGGAAACCGGTCAGTTTTGATTTTCAAGGAGCAGCCGTCTTAGACAGGGGCACCTCAAGGACAGAACGTCTCACACTTGAGGCTTGGTACTTAGATGTCAAATCCATCAACAGGCATCTAGACCCTCCTTCGGTCTATAAAGTCCAACACCACTACATACGCTGTGTCGAAGAACAGAGGTCATTAGGAGCCTAAGACTACCGAGTAAACACGGCCTGTCGACCATTTCACTCAAAAGGGGAGCGCGACCGCAACTAACTCCAATTGAGGTGCCGACACACAATACAGGAGGCCACCAATGCTCACAGGCGACGGCCAGTAGGCCAAGGCAGGGAAAGAAAAGAAAAAAAATCGATCAGCCCACGGCCAACTAATTCGGCTGTCCATTCAAAATTCTGATCGATTTTTTCACTAGACGCTTTGGTAATGGAGAGCCGACACAGATATTCGAAACGTCAGCTGAAAAAGTCTTTCGATCCGGTGAACACTTCATTTTCCTCGGATTATCCATCCGGATATCTTACTTTTGCCTAACCTGAGCTTGCGCAGACTGTTTCAGACCGCCTAAGTCCAATCCACTGCGTGCCCAATTCGAGTGAAAGCGCTCTCTCTAGTGCCTCTCCAACCACACCCATCTCCTAATCAGGACATGGTCTCCAGGTCCCACTGCTCCTGAGCCAACGTGGCAATTTTCAGTAAAACTATGGAAGAAATTTCTTGTCGGAATTCTATAAGCTGGATACTACAGGAAGGGGTATAGGCCCTCGATTTTCAGGTGTTAAATGACATCGAAAACGCATGGACAAAGCCCAGCTTACCAATTTCCAAAAATTCATCATCGAATATCTCCTCGTTGAGCCATGGCCACCTTCCTCTCTCTGAATACGGTTCGGCATTCATGTCGTTGGACAGTTGAGATACTGCATCTAACGTTTCATCGTTCTCATCGTCTCCCTGTTCTAGCTTTGATACTTTATACGTAGGGATGGCGATATTATTGGTGTGTGGAAAGTGCAGAATATGTGATATAGAAAACAGAATTTTGGACGTCCGTCTATACCCACTTGTCATTGCAGATAATGATATACTTGCTCAAGGAAAATCGTCAGCATTCTCACCGCTCCCCTCTATTTTCCGTGCAAATGAAACATCTTTCAGGTTAAAACTTAATGACACATCGCTGAAGAAGAATCTAAAGTCTGCGGATGTAAAAAGTAGGCAACCGTGGCATATTCCGAGTCCACATCTTCTTGTCAGAACTCGACTGGATCAACTCCAACAACTTTGTAACGTATGTTCTCTGGATATTGATCGAGCTAATGTGTGCAACATGTTTAAGGCCAGAAGAAGCCAGCCTACGCAATCTGCCAAGCCGGTGCCATGACCAGGTTTCGCAGTAAAAAGTGTGTTAAACAGTTGTGATCGAGACACTCAACTGCATCAGAGCTCTTGGCCTTGGCACTCAGGCAATTAAAATCCACTCTAAGATTCCTTATTATACATTTACTTTGTGGCCCCTGAGGCCGCAGATTGGATCAGATACGTCATTCTTAAGTTTTGTCATCTATCAGCGAGATTT